ACAAGAAAGTGTATTCTCAATTGTTGTATTTTGCTTTTACGAAATATGTTAGACAGTTTACAAAATAATACTAAGGTTGGCACCGCAGCGACCCTTATACGTCACTGGCCTGGAAACTCCACCAGTGTCCCCTCAAGTGACCGCTTTCTGCAACAGGTGTCGCTGGCTGTCAGAGGGGGGAAGAACCTTTAAAAAAATCCAAACAAGCCGTAAGGCTGAAATTTGTCAATCTGCCTCCAAGACTGCTTATGGCGATGTTTCTGATCACGCATATTGCCAACAGGGACCGCGACAATGCTGAAGCGCCCAAAGGAAGAGCATCCCTGCCTTGATGGCGATGAAGTTGAGTCCGCTCTCAGTGGCCAGTGCCTTGGCCACCATGGTCTTGGAGCAGCCTGGGGGTCCGTAGAGGAGTAGTCCGTGCGGAGGAGTGGCCCCCAGCCTCTCAAAGGCTTCCCTGTGCTTCCAGGGCCACTCCACCGCCTGCCGCAGCTTCAGCTTCACCTCCTCCATGCCTCCAATGTCGCTCCAGCGAACCTGCAAAAAAGACAAAATTATTATTTTTTTGTTTTAAGGCAAGAAGACCTTTTTCTGGAAGGTCCAAAGGCACGAAAAACAAAACAAAGTAGCCCGACAGGGTACCAACGGCCTGCGTCGGGGGTGAGGTCCAGCAGCACGTAATGCAACGCAAGACCTAAGAAACAAAATCTGTACACACATTAACAACAGCAATATATCACTAGCACAATGGCAATAAAAACAACAACATCGATGTGGGAACACCATCCACCTAGAACTCTTCAAATGTATTTGCTAAATTTTGTAAAATCTGCTTCAGTTAAAATTGCACAACTGCAGCAAGCTCCTTATTTCCAGCTCATGGTGGTACCGCTGCTCCTACAGAACCTCACTGGACCATACAACAGAAAATTTTTGCTACACCGAAAGATCACTACAAAGACCGGTCCATACATACAACGCGGCGCGAAATCAATAGTAAGAAGAGTGTTCACTTGAACGTAACTCAATGCTGATGGAATGCTGTATCACTAATATAGCGCAAACTCAGTTTTGCATCAGCAAGGTCATATCTATTTTCAGCACTGACTTGTATACTTGTATTTACCTCAAGAACAGCAGTAAAAAAAGTATGCCCCTCACAGAAGATTACTAATTTCCCCTTTCATATGTTGAATTTAAGAAACAGACCCCCCCCCCGCCCCCCCTAGATATTTTTGGTTTTATTTTTTGCCAGGTGATCCATTATGGTGTCAGAAAACTACCCAATCAATATTTTGCTGCAGCATCACTTTAATTTTTAATAAAGTAAAAAAATCCAATTGCTCGAAACTAAAACCGAAACTGGACTAGGGAGTAGGAAGAAATATAGAGGAGGAGAGAGTTGCCAAAAGTCATGTGGCTGTGGAACTTTTTTTTTTTTTTCAATCAACAAATTTGAAGATTTTTTTTAGAAGCCACAAAAAATGGCTATCGTTATTTTTTTATGTTTTTAATATTGAATGTGTGCCTTCGATGCCACACCGTGCCGCGGAGATACTATATAAACCAAATTGCCCTGGAAAAAAAGAAAAAAGGGGTAGGAAAGGCGGAGAGTGAGCGAAGAGGCAGAGATAAAGCAAGCCACGGCACTAGCAAGCATTGAGCAGTGAAAGAAAACTCCTCTCGGCTCTCTGCCACAGACAGCCTGCAAAGAGAACTGCTGCGCGGTGTGCGTTCGTCATGTCTGTTTATTTTCTGTTTCTCAGCCGCTGGCAGGGAGGGGGGTCCCCTCCCCCCACCTCAGTGCCAGCGGCGCTCTGTAGCTTCACTCTCCTTGTTTGAAAGAATGGCTGCAGTGGAAGATGCGACAACGTGGTGGTGTGCAGGCCTGCTGAGTACAACGGTCTGCAGCCATGTGTGCAGGCAAAATCACATCATCATCCTGTGGCATCATTTGTCCAAAGCCTGAGTGTACTTCTTTGTGTTGTAGAGTCATGTATAATATTTGTTAATTTCTCTTGTCATGTATAATATTTGTTAATTTCTCTTTTTTCTTTTTTCTTTTTCTTTCTTCTTCGCTTTTTTTACCTATTTTCACATACTTTCTTTGCTTCGTTTCCTTTTGCGCACCTCGCTGAAGGCGTTATGCTGTTTGTGGGCACGTATCAAATAAATAAATAAATAAATAATCGAGTGGTAGGCAGTTAGTCAGAGCAATGGGCGGTCAGTCGGAGTGGTGGGCGGCAAAGCCACTGCCGCCCACCATGGGGAAAACCCTGATCCTACATTAGATTTGTTATTTATCGAGATATACACCTTTCAAAATGCAAAATTACCTATTGATTTTTTTTTTTAAACATCCAAATGTTGTAAGAAAAAATGTTCAAAACATTCCTTTTTTTTTTCATGTGACAAGTATACTAGTGTGAAAGTAGTGCTGTGCTGCATGTGTGAAGAGGCCTTTAGACTACAGTCAGTTACAAGTTCAGAAAAGATTTTGAGGGAAAGGAAGGCTGAAGAGAAGAAAGCAGCTGGAATGCTGGAGAGAGGAGGAGGTTTCCTTCTCTCCTCTCCAGCGTTTTGTTTGCTTCCTCCTCCCCAGCCCACCTCCACCTTGAATACTTTTCTTAACCTGTAACTGACTATATGAAACTTTACTATGTCGTAGAACTTGTCTTTTCAGTCAATTTACAAACAAACACCTCGGCAACACGAGTCGTTACGGAGTCATTCCTTGTTTCAATTAAAAATGCCTTCTTCAGTTCGCACAAAGAAAAGCAGTCAATTCTATGAATGTCCACACAAAACTTACTACACAAACAAGTCGCTTCTTGAAGAGTTTGTTTCCAAAATTTCAATCTTATACGATGGTGCAACTTTTTAGAAGTTGCACCATCATTTTGTTTACAGGTATGAACCTTAACTGTGCAACTACCCGGCCTGTGACCTTCGTTGAACTGCCTCTGAAAGTTGTATAGACTTAAAACCGTTGTGTTGACTGCAAACTGGTATATAGACCAAACACAAAGATTACAACGAACACCACATGCCAACCTTGGGTATCTCGAGGGAGACCTCGCGCATGGCACTGGGCTTGGTACGCTTGAGGGCAGCCGCCACGTCTGCCATGTTGAGCTCGACTTCATGACTCAAGACGGCGTCCGTCGCAGTGGGGTCTTTCAGATGTCTATCCAGAGAGTGTAGCGCAGCTGCATCAAACCACAAAACAAAAGAACTGAAAAACGGTGCAAAGTGGTGAAGCTTGACCCAGGAAGGGCCTACAGTTCCACGTGCCCCCTCGTCTTTTCTGCTCTCGGACCCATTTATTTGCGATGATCTGTAACTTTTCGGTGGGTGCTTGCTCGGTGTGTTATGGCAGATGTGTAAAAGAAGGATTAAGAAACAATGGAGTGCCCGTCTGTTTAACATGTAACATAATCTGGAGACATCAGGATATAGTACTTAGAATATTCTATACTGAAGCGGCGAGTGTGCAAGCGTTAGTTATCTGCTGTCCTCATCATGATGTTTGGTTGAGGTTATTCATAGCACTCCCACTGCAAATCAAACAAATCAAATTTGATTCAATTTAGCTTTTCATAGAAGGTATGGAGTTCAAAAGCGCTGTGCTAGATGACTGTCAAAACACTCACCCTCGGCGCACATGGCTGCCAAGTCGGCTCCCGTGAGGCCGTGAGCCGCATCCGCCGTCTCTACAATGTCCTCATCGCTCAGTGAGTGCCTCACGTTGCCAAGGATCTTGCGGAGGATCTACGTGAATCAATTAATCTGGCTCACATTCCAGGAAGAGCATAAACAGGAGTACATCACACGGCGAATTTATGACAATGCTGCAAACATTCGGAGAAACGAAATACTCCGTGCTTTTGAGATACACGATGGATTAAAAAACACCCCGTCTTAGAACGTGTATAGATGCCTCATCAGTGTCCCTTTAGGGTGTCTCATTTGCGCCACTGCGTAAAATTATCCCGAATACCAAACTTTTCCTCTCTGTTGCAAGAACAGCTCAGTCAGCTAAACTCAGTCATCAAGCCCTGAAACTTTTAGAACAGAGGTTCTCAAACTCATAGATCCCGAGGAGCACCCAGGTGTCTCTCTAGACCAGGGGTGGCCATGCTGACCCGGCCTAAGAGCCATGAACAAAACCACGAAACTTCCAAGAGCCGAGGGGGAGGGGGGGGGGGCAAAAGTTTTTGTCCAGAGGAATAAACGAAACTCGAACTGCTTTCAATCTATCTGAGTCAAAAGCAGTACAACTGTACGTAAGGTAGCACAAGACTACCAGACTGCAACCTGTCTTTCGATTTAAAACTCGTTCTCTTTCTCTTTTTGGGGGAGTACTCCTCTGACCGGGAGGGAGGCGAATGTAAGGAAGGGAGCTGCGAGCCGCACTTTAACACGCGAAGAGCCGCAGCTTGGCCACCCCTGCTCTAGACTGATAGCCAAGAAATCCTTGTCAGACCCGACACCGACACAATAAAAGCAGTGCGAAAGACAGACCTTGTAAACAAAAGCTCGAGGTACACCTAAGTATTTCTTATGAGTTGTGAATGCGAAAGCATGCAAGCCGCTCGTCCGTTCCCTTTGTCGTCTGCTACGTACTAGTGCGCGCGCGCTTCGGGTTGGAAGCTCCGTCGACGCGCGCCAGCCAATGGAACGGAAGGCGCGCGGAAACTATCTTTTTGCGCTTCCAACTGATGACATCAGCTCGTTCCACGAGAAGATAAATGCTTTCGCATTAATAATGCATATTAGAGGGAGCAATCAGTACTGACATGCGGTCGTGTATCGCTACCGCTACCGTGCGATGCACGTGAAGACCCCAGGCAGGCGCGTATCCAGGGGGGGGAGGCCCCAAATCTCCCATTTGGCTGGGGCCTTCTCTCTCCCCTCTGCCTCATAGAGCATTTTGTCATGGGTAAGCCTTCCCTTTCCCCCCCTCCCCCCCTCCCCAAAACAAAATCCTGGCTACATGCCTGACCCCAGGCGAGCAGTCGTACCACACTAACTAAACTTATCACCTACACCAGACACCAGACACCAGACACCCACTGGGGTTGAACACGGCAGTTCTCGAGAGTACCCTCAGGGGTTCCACGACACCCCAAATTTCCTCAGCCCTCCCTGCCTTCTAAGTAAAGTGCTATTCCAGTTTAAGCATTTCTGTAGAAGGCCTGAGGCATCTAGTCATGCCTAGCTACCTGCCAAACACTCCCTGAATTGCTTCATTGCTTCAATGCCCAGAATGGCTCTGAATCAAGAGGTGTACCTTGAGACAGAAAAGTCTCAGAGAAAAGCCTTAAGTGAGAAACATTAAATTAGGTTTATTTTTATTTATTTATTTATTTATTCATTCTGCCAGCCGTGAGGCCAAGGCAGGAGTGGTACATATTTTCAAAAACATACCAAGGACACACAAAGAATTCAATAATTCAGTCACATCCCTTGGTGACATGGGAAGAAAGAAACATTTCAATTTCCTTCACAAAAGTTGACACACTTTGAGAGTTGACTATACATTCAGGCAGCTTATTCCAGAAATCAATACATCGAACAAAAAAGGAGTACTTAAAATGATCCGTAGAGTATTGATAGGATTGGATATTTAAGCTATGTTTTATTCTGTGGTACACCGGAGGAGACATCACGACGTATTTTTGGGTATCTAACATCGAATGACCATGAAATATCTGAAAAAAAAGTTTCATTCTATTCGTTTCTAATCTGGTCTTTATGCTAGGCAGGCCTGCTTGCTCCTTGAGTTTTGTGACCGACTCAGTCGACCGGTAGCAATTAAAGATAAATCTAGCAGCCTTATCTTGAATTCTTTCCAATTTATAAATATTTTGATTTGTGAATGGCTCCCAAACCGGACTAGCGTATTCCAGAGTTGGCAAAATTAGACACTTAAAGGCAATTAATTTGACATCGGAACTAGCGAACTCTAACTTTGTTTTAAGCATCCATAGTTTTTGAAAGGCTTTCTTACATACATAGTCAATATGGGAGTTCCAGCTTAAGTCACTTCTTAAGTGCACTCCAAGGTATTTATATTCGTTAACTTTAACAAGCGGAAGACCATTAATACTGTAGTTAAACTGTAAGTGTTGTTTTTTGCGCGTTACATTCATGTAGACCGTCTCACTTATATTCAGTTCCATCTGCCAGTCAGCGCACCATTTCATTATCTTACGCAAGTGCTTGTCCAAATTTAGTTGGTCTTCATTGGAACTGATATTGGAGTAAATCACAGTGTCATCCGCAAAGTGCTTTAAAGTTACCGCGGAGTCAAAGTCCTTTCCCATGTCGCTGATAAATAATATAAAAAGAAGCGGTCCAAGTACCGAACCCTGCGGGACGCCGGATATTACTTGTAATGATTCTGTTCTCTCCTTTTTAAAATACACATACTGTTCCCGTCCTGATAAATATGAGTTCAACCAATCGACTATCTGATCATTCTTAAGAACGTGACTAAGCTTGTACAACAATTTCGGGTGCGATACGCGGTCAAAAGCTTTAGCGAAATCTAAAAATATAATATCTGTCTGCCCCCCTTTATCTGCGGTTATGCTCAAATCATGAAAAATTTCGATTAGCTGCGTAGTTGTAGAACACCCCCGTCTGAATCCATACTGATTAGAGCCCAGAAGTTTGTTACTCTCAATAAAAGTGATCAAATGTTTCGATAAGATATGTTCTAAAGTTTTACAGCACGTGCTCGTTAGGGAAATCGGTCGATAATTACTCAAGATAGTTTTATCACCCTTCTTATGGACCGGAATTATCTTGCCACATTTCCAATCTCGGGGAATTGTTCCTTTGTCAAGTGTTAGTTTAAAAATTATTACCAGGTAATGGGAGCACCATTCTGCATATCTTTTTAGAAATATATTAGGTATTTCGTCAGGCCCGGATGATTTTTTAGCATCAAGGTTTAATAACAAATTGAACAGACCTTGCTGGTTCACTGTCACGTCAGTTATAGCAGGAATGCCACAAGGCACGTAGAAATTGGGAAGGATGCCATCGTCTCTTGTGAAAACTGACTGAAAGTAATGGTTGAATGATGAAGCAACTTGCCACTTGTCTGTTATAATAGAACCGTTCTTGACAATACCTGGAACAGTTTCCTTAACCGGAGATAAATGTCGCCAAAACTTTTCTGGGGAATTTTTTAGAAAGTTTGTGAGTGAATTTTCCATATAAAAACATTTAGCATTGCGAACCTCCGATTTAAAAGTATCCGAAAGGCCCTGTACTTCCTCTCGCTTTTGAGGTGTCTCGCATTTTTTTAGATTCCGCCTTTTTCTTTTTAGCCTATGCTTCATGCGAATAATATTTTTTGTTATCCACGGGTTTTGCTTGGAGATTTTTTTGACTCTGAGGGGAATAAAATTGTTGATGGCAGTGTGAACCATAGTTTTAAATCTTGCCCAGATCTCGTCTACAGATGTCGCGTTTAATGCGGAGAATTGCCTAAAGCTATCATAATGTAGATTAAAAAAGTCACATATACTTTCATCATCTGCCTTAGAGAAATCCAGAAAGGAAACAGTTTCAGGCGGTACTTTTTCACGCTTTCCTAAGGGACACGTCACGAGGACCATGTCGTGGTCGGAGATACCGTCCAAAACTTCGCACGAGTATCGCGACTGCGACAATCGTTTACTTAAAAAGACCAAGTCAAGCAAAGAACTAACAGAACCTTGCGTTCTAGTACTTTGTTGGACAATTTGTGTCAAATCATGAGAAAATACTAAATTGATCAAAGCTTGCGACGTGGAAACTTCCCCATGTGTTGCACACATGTTCAACCAATCAATGTTGGGCAGATTAAAATCCCCAACCAGAACAATTCTGCTACTTTTACTTCGGACATGTTCACATAGATAATCATTTATACTCGTAAAATAGGTTTCGTTCGTCAGAGGAGGACGGTAAACAGCTCCGATCATGATTGGACACTTATTTATTACGATCTTGCAAAACAATGATTCAATACTATCTAAATTAGGCATCACCTCACTCTCTAGCTCCTCCTTGATAACAACTGCAACACCACCTCCACGAGACTCCCGATCTTTACGAAAGCAAACATAATTCGGTGGTACAAAATCCGTATCTTCAACTTGAGTGCTCAACCACGTTTCTGTTATTATAACCGCGTCAGGTTCATGTTCCAAAAGTATGGCTTCCAACTCGGCTCTCTTGTTTAATACGCTTCGCGCGTTTAGATTAATTACGGTGAGTAAATCAGGAACACGACTGATTTTCAGGGCCCTCTCTGTGACTCAGTTCCCCTTCAAGAATATCGCTGCTCCCATATGGACGGCGAGAACCGGATGTCAAATCCCAGTAAAACAAGCTACCGTCTACGGCTATCTTGCCATAAACTAACCGGACTTTAGCGCCTCGGTTTCTTTCATCTCTTGCGGAGTCCCAAAGGCATTTTCTTAAACTTTGAACTTGCCTAGAAAAATCCTCACTTACAGAAATATTTGTGCCCTTAAGCCTATTACAGTTGCATAAAATTTCCATTTTTTCTCGGTAGTTGTAAAAACGTACTATTGTAGGCCGTGGGCTTCGCCGCTTTTTACCAAGACGGTGAATGCGTTCGATACTTTCGGGATTTACGTTAACTCTTTGAAAAACATTAGCCTGGACGGTCTGCGTTAGTTCCAAAGCCGTTTCGTTTTCTGCTTCGTTTAATCCAAATATGATGAGGTTGTTGCGTCTGGAGCGGTTTTCGAGGTCATCTACCTTACGCACTAGTAGTTGGACAGTTTTTGTCAGGTCTCGGACCACTGCTTCCAGTTCAGTTGCCTTGTGAATTGCCGATTCCAACCTTATCATTCTAACATCTAGGCTTTTAAAATTTTCGGTATTTTCATTCACTGATTTCTGTAGAGATCGCTGATCTCGTTTTATATCGTTTAACGTTCTCGTCTGATCCTTTTGGCCATCAAGTATCATCGACACCTTTTCCTCCAGCGTGTAGGTTGGCCCAGGATTGAGCTCAACATCACCGCATAGAAGAAGAAGTTGCCTTATCACGTCTAGACACTCTGCTACCACAGAAAGCACTTTGTGGGGGCACGGCACGACAACTAGGCACAAGCAGTTGCTCCGCATGCTACTGGTCCTATTGCTTACCTGTAAACAGGCGAAGACGAGCGGGTTAGACATGCTGCCGCAAAGCGTACCGTGCCCACCACTAGCACAGTGAAGTCCGTTCCAGTCTTTTAAGACACCCAGGGGCGTGGCAGTTCTTGAAGATGATTGGTGCAGCCTTGTAACGTGGTCGAAAGACGTGTCATCGGCGATCGATGTCTCGCCGTGGCGGATGTAGCATGACGATGACGGGGCAAAAGACACTATGCCCGTGTCGGACGCGGAAAAAATGATCGGCAAAGGAATCACCGAAGGCTCGTGGCTTTTCCCCGCGCCAAAAAGCAGGACCTGTAAACAGGCGAAGACGAGCGGGTTAGACATGCTGCCGCAAAGCGTACCGTGCCCACCACTAGCACAGTGAAGTCCGTTCCAGTCTTTTAAGACACCCAGGGGCGTGGCAGTTCTTGAAGATGATTGGTGCAGCCTTGTAACGTGGTCGAAAGACGTGTCATCGGCGATCGATGTCTCGCCGTGGCGGATGTAGCATGACGATGACGGGGCAAAAGACACTATGCCCGTGTCGGACGCGGAAAAAATGATCGGCGAAGGAATCACCGAAGGCTCGTGGCTTTTCCCCGCGCCAAAAAGCAGGACCTGTAAACAGGCGAAGACGAGCGGGTTAGACATGCTGCTGCAAAGCGTAACGTGCCCACCACTAGCACAGTGAAGTCCGTTCCAGTCTTTTAAGACACCCAGGGGCGTGGCAGTTCTTGAAGATGATTGGTGCAGCCTTGTAACGTGGTCGAAAGACGTGTCATCGGCGATCGATGTCTCGCCGTGGCGGATGTAGCATGACGATGACGGGGCAAAAGACACTATGCCCGTGTCGGACGCGGAAAAAATGATCGGCGAAGGAATCACCGAAGGCTCGTGGCTTTTCCCCGCGCCAAAAAGCAGGACCTGTAAACAGGCGAAGACGAGCGGGTTAGACATGCTGCCGCAAAGCGTACCGTGCCCACCACTTATTAACGTGGCCTACTCTTGCACCCAGCTCACCTGAAGTCGTCCCGACGCCGTGGGCACTCCAATCTCGAGTTCCCTGTCGAGGCGGCCAGGCTGGCGCAGCGACGGATCCACGTTGTTGGGTCGGTTAGTGGCGCCCAGAACTAGCACCCACTTCTCTTGCATTGACTGGTTTAGGGAAAACAAAACCAGACACTTTAGATGAATACGTGTAGCTCGAAAAAGTAGGTAATGGTGGTTCCTTTGCAGCGTCCTGTGAAATGAACTGCGGCGATAGTTGAGGCGCCACACACTTTGCTGCACACGGTAAACCCTATCGTGTTTCAACATAGAAGACTTCTGACCCACTAAACTTAGCAAAACAAAGGGAAGGGAGGAGGTGGAAATGACACTGCGATGTCACTGCGCAACGTCATTACTGCAATTCTCTGCTAATTTTGTGGACAAAAATTTTGCGCTGGATTAGGGGCCACGTTAGCTCCTGACACGCAAATACACCTCAGGGTATGCTGCAAAACCTCACCAATAGCGCACGTTGCTGTAATAGAAGAAAGCAACACCAGAATCCATCATATGCATTTTTGCAAATACGGCTCAAAGAGACTTGAGGTTATCTCCATAAAGAAAAATGGGTGGTGCTCACCGGCAAATTGTCCAGCAATGCCACCAAGGTCGACACCGCCCTAGCTTCCTGGCTGGATGTGCCGGCTTCACGCTTGGGACACAGGGCGTCGATCTCGTCCACAAAGAGGACGCTTGGTGCCCTGACAGAACAACAGTGCAATGCTCACATGTCTGCATCTACTGCTCGCAACTTGTGGCCCTAGTGCAACATTTATTTAGCCCAAGTGTAACTTCTAGCCCTAGTGCAACTTCTGATCCGAGTACAACTTTTAGTCCAAATGTAACTTTTAGCCTAAGAGCAACTTCTGGCTTTAGTGCAACTTCTGGCCTTAGTGCAACTTCTGGCCCTGGTGTAACTTCTGGCCCGAGTGCAACCCAGAGAGGAGTAGCTTACCTCTCGACTGCGTCCTTGAAGACGTTTCTCAGAGCAGCTTCCGTTTCCCCATAGTACCTGTGCCGAAAAATGCCGTGCGAGATGTCACAAACTTCGCCACGCATTATGCTTAAAGGGGCCCTGCAATCATATTTAAGCGTCTACCTTTTTTTGCGGTTTCCACGTCTCTTGGGGTTCAGGCAAGCCAGCGGGCACGGAGAGAGTAACTAAATATCAGTGCGTCATATTTTAACCGGACGACACGAAAACCTCCTCCACCGACGGGGGCGACCCGTGGTACCGAAAACGCGCGAAATGTGACGTCTTTGGTCCTGGGCTTACTACTGGTCAGAGCGGCTAAAAGCTTCTTTTTAGTCGAAATACAAAACATAAGTGGCGCGAACCGTTTCAATTATTTATAAAAGTAGTTTTTGTTCAGTATTTTAGATCAGAAAAGAAACAAATGCAGTTTATAAAGTACGGAAACAAGAAATGACCCGTCAACATACCCGCCACCAAGCGGTGGATAAGGCGGCGCATACTAGAAAAGAGTAGTGGGATCAGGCGCCGACACGGAAAGGTCCCGGATGGACGCGGCGGCGCTGCAGTCGTTTACGGACTGGAGGATCTGACCGGCTCCGAGCGTTCCGAAGGCCTTCCGCGAGTAGCTTTGTCTTGCATTTTGGCTATTTCGCGGTACGGCAGTGCGAAGGGACTCCCATCCTGAACTTATCTTTACCCCCTGTTTGCTGTCGTTTAAGGCCAATGAAGTGTCATGCCGAATTAGTGTTTAATCGCGCAGCAAACGCAATGAGAGCCGCTCTGGCTGCCCGCTGCATACAGCCTATCCAGAACACGCTTTAGTGGCGCCCTCTCGCGCCGTCGACACGGCAGCGCGGCAGCTGTGAGCGCTCGTTGAACTCACTATCCCTCCTCTAGTTCACGGTCACTCAAGCAACCAAGGACGTCATGAGGGAGGATATTTTTTGCTTGTTTTTGTAATTTTAATTTGCCTATAACTTTTAAAATAAAGCGAAATTCGAGAAAAGAAAAGTTACATTAAGTTACTACGGTCAGTGCGCTCAGGTTTGGTGCAAATTAAAAATTAGTAAAAAAGTGCTTGCAGGGCCCCTTTAAGCTGTCATCACCCACTTGCAAAAATGCAAGCTTGCTGTGTCAGTGTTTCGGCAGCAGAAAGGCAGTGTAGTTGGAAATGTCATCTTATGTCACTACCGTAGAGAGTCTATTAGTCAGCAGAGCACAGGTCAGTAACGTGCACTGTGTATTCGTGATTGCTCAAACTCATACCGCTACAACGTCCCGGAAGTTAGCTCCTGATATTAAGATCTACAGTGTAGTGTGAGCTTTCACTGCACAAGCTGCCAAACTTGTGCAGTGAAAACTGAGGAAGCTTGGCACCTTTCACTGAAGAAGGTTTGTAATCTCCCCAACTGGTGTGTTTCTACCCCAAACTAAAAGGAAAATAAAAAGGAACTCTTGTTTTAAAGGGCAATGTTGATCTGTTTAAAACCCCTCAATCAAACTCTCGCTTCACATTTCTTACAAGTACCAACAACCATCACTGTGTGAACACAAAAGTCGCATGCCACGAGTGAGCGTTCTGCCGCCATTTGCTTCCAAAGGCTTCTGTGCCATCATTTGGATCAAAGGGCTGCACAAGGCACATACATTCTGCAGTGGCGCATTTGTCGCTACTTGTAAGACAAGCACAGACACATCAAGGGAATTTAGATCAGCCCCCTTAGTGCTGCCACCTTTGAGGCAATTTTGACAATAGTCAATGTTAGCAGACATGCTATTAAGAAGGGGGTCTTGTACAACAAGACACAAAGTGAAGGGAAAAATTTGCAGTGTATTCTTACTTGCTGAAGACCTGCGGCCCATCAAGCACCACAAGACTTGCTCCCGATTCGGCTGCAACCGCCCGTGCAAGCAAGGTCTTTCCCGTGCCAGGCGGCCCAAACAGTAGTGCTCCCCTGGGAGGCTTCAGGCCTGTTAAGAAAAACAGTGTGCTAGCAACACTGGTACATCATGACTGAGTTAAAAAAAGACAAGACAGAGAGAAAGAAATTGACGGGAAGGAAAAATCATACTTTTGTTTTCTAGGCTAGGTAGCACAAGCTACCGCCCATCATAAAAAGCACAATCGTTAGCATCCATCCATGCATCCATAGGCTTGAGAATCGAATTGCACGTTACGACAGATGCAGACTGTTGACACGCTAAATCGGATACTTTCACAAAAAGGGTTTACACTAGCATATATTACACAAGCGACCTTTCCTTCTTCTGCTGTAGCTTGGGCTTCGTTCACACATAAAGAGAAACAAACTATAGCTATATATTTGTTCTCTAAAACTGGCAGCTTCTGGGGGAACGTCCACGTTACACGGCACCGCATTGCTGCCAAAATTCAAACATAAGCAAACTCACCGAAACGTGAGAAGGTGGCAGGGTGCCTGGCAGGCACCTCGACCAGCTCTCGCAGCTGCTGGATCTCCCTGTCCAGCCCTCCGATCTGGTCGTACCCCGCCCTATGGGACACCTCCGGCCCCACGCTGCCCTCCTCCATGACGGTGACTTCCGTGCCGATCGTGATGCGGTGAAAAACCGCCGACGAAATGCGAGACCCCGCCCTCCCTTCAGGTGCCTTTGGAGTATTGAATGCAGCCGGGCCTTGCCTGCTCGGGGTTAGTGGCATCCTCTGTGGCGGTGTTGAATGAACCTGGGAAATAAATTAAATAAACCAAATGGGCCCTTTTCAAAACCCCATCAAGCAACATTGGTGCTCGCTGTTTCTCGGGCATGAGAGGAATCATACGTTTGCTTAGGCTAGGTGGCAAAAGCTAATGCCCGTTCCAAAGGGTACAGCCAGTCATCCATCCATTCATTCATCCATCCATCCGGGCACAGAGCGTGTGATTGGAACCAAGTACTCATCGAACGCTAATGCAGCAATCGTTTCTGATACAAGCTGAGCCGAGTTCACGCCGTATGCTGTTGCAGCTCTCGTGTCCCAAACTATGCCCAAACTATGGCAAACTCGGATAACGGCTGCAGCAGCTACCTTATTCACTATTAAGCTGAGACTGCAGTGTGAGCTACTTGCCTGGCGGACCAATCAGCCGCCTCCTTTTCGTCACCTGACCTGGCTCTCTGCATGCGGGTATGGGCGGGAGAGTGACGACGTGGCGAAAGAGAGACGTACGACTGGTCCAACGAGGACGTAGCTTCCACCGCAGTCTCAGCTCAGAGTTGAACGGAGTACAGATAGCCCACATTTTTTAAAATGGTCTATTCATATCTCGAGCACAAAAATAAAATGGACATCACATACGATCACGACTGATTTTGTAATGTTTAAAAGAGTGCCTCCTTACATTTGGTGCGACAGACAGAACTAGCTGCAACGTGTCTTTACCGTCAACACGGCTGGTTGGCCAAAGAAGGTCGCCACCGGACAAAACAATGCTTCCCCCATGTGCTTCGTAATATGCAGCATTAAAACCCACCTGAGCCCTAAAATATGCTAGGATTCAAGACGCCTCACTTGAGCGGACGACGGCCTTGGAGTTTTTGAAGCACTGGGGCTACTGTGTCCTTCGCTAACGGTGAGGTGCTGTAGCTTCTCTTCGAGATCATCACCATCAACCGACGACGAGCAAAGCAGGTCACCCGACGAAAGTCCTCCTTCGCCTTTTGCGGACAGCACGGTAAACCGCAGGTCGTGACCGTAGACACGGCACTGCAGTTTCGATCCGGTCCTCACGAAGACACCCACTGGGTAAGAATAGAGACACAAGCAGTTGGTGTCTCATTCTTCTGTGCCAACAACACTGTGTAAAAGGTAAAGCAGTTGCTTGCGTCCCTGTAACACCCACCAATTAAAATGCAGTCGGCCATCTTACATACATAAAATTGAAAGAATAAAACACAGAGGACAAGCACAGGACAACCACAAGGCCAGGCCATCTTAGAACTTTTCATCTCGAGGACTCCCCCCCCCCTTTTCTGGACTGAGTGCCAATGAATGTGTCCTGGTCTTGGCATTGATGCAGTGTAGCAGTGCCTATGCAGAGTGCAAGTTCATCTGCTTCTTTTGCAGGGGTAGTGGTGACGTCAGAATGCTGAGCTCTGATTGGCCCTGATTGAAGGATAGAATGTAGACCTTAAGGCAAGCTGCCTTGATGTCTACCCACTATCCTTCAATCAAAGCCAACAGGAGCTCGGCGTTCTGCCGTCGCCACAACCCCTGCAAATGAAGCAGACAAACTTGTGCTCCGCATAGAACTTGTAAACAATACTCCACATACTACAGTGTGTTTGGCTCATAGTTATGCGTAACTGGGTGGGTTCAGATCTCCCTGCATCAATGATCCAGTTCAGACAAGACGTCCTGCCAGTTATTTAATCTCTCCATGTAGCAGGGTTATGAGGGCATTCAGACTAATTTGCCGGTATGTTTCGTTCAACAAATAACTCGTTAAGACGAAACTTTTTGTTCAGCGAATAACTCATTAAGACGAAACTAAAAGGTCAGCTATTATGGCAAACTGACATAATAAATAAAAAAGCTAACACAAATGGTTCTAAATCGTTTTAATGTTAATCCAGACTCCTCCTATGTAACATACTAAATTAGCTGTCAACATTTTTGCTACGCTAAAACTTGATCTAACATTTGAAGTAAAAAAAAAAACGCTTGCTTTCAAGTGACAATCTAGCAGACTGCATAGAGATAGTAGTTGAGCCGAAAAAGCACACGGTGGTGCTGCTTACAATTTTGTTGAAGAATGCATCTCTGCAGCTCGAGTACGGAAACTTGCTGCAACTTCTCATCCGGCATCAATGTTACGGAGCTTGCTCCAACGATGCAGTCAGAGTGCTTTGCCACAGTCACTTTTCTCGGCACGCTCGGTTTGGGCTGCCTGTGGATGGAGACTCCGGTGAGGCCAATATTCCGAGAAGGCCATGCCACAAGCAAGTGCCTTTCTCCGTCTTCACAGAGCTCCACCACATCTTTTATGCCGATGTCGCACATCCTCATGCATGAGGGATTTAGGTAGAGGAGCTGGGATTTCGTCGAATTGGACAAGCCAGCCGTATCGTCTGCTGCAAAGGAAAATAAAAAAATGAGTGACTTTTTCAGCATAACTTGGCAAAAGGTGAAAGCTACAGCCCCCAGGAGTCAATCAGCGATGAAGGAAAGCATGGAATTTAATACTTGCACGGTACCCTTATTTAAAAAATCTTGGTATAGTGCAAATTACAAAACATTTCAATTATAAACTTTTGCGTATCAGATGTCTATAAGCCAATATCAACTTGTTGCTATATCCATCACCAATATAAAACAAAGGGTACCTGCACATTCCAGCCGTTGTGTTGACATTCGGACACCTTGATCAAGAGCATGCAATGGCTTCTAGATGTTGCAGTTTTCGCTACCGGATGTATTAAATAGTGTGCAGAGATGTGGAATAGATTTTATAAGTTTCAACCAAAAAGATATTAGATCTCTCTTTCTCTTGTGTTTAACTTTGTTTTTTTGAATAGAATCATCTTCAGATAGGGGAATATTTTTTATGGTTTATACCAGTGGTTCTCAATCATTGATGTTTCGCAGACCCCTTGTGGACCGGCGGAGATGATGGAGGACCCCTTCGTGGTGAGGAAAGGGAAAGGTATAGGTTAATTATGATAATGATTTAATAAATGGATATAACTAAGGGTTAATGTTAAGTAGACTTCTCTCATAGGCACACAAACCAGAAAACGCACCCGAAAATTAGAATGTTTCTTCTCAATTCGAAAAAAGACTATTTTTATTGCCGGGCTTGACTAATGAGTCAGGGCTTCGCGGACCCCCACTTGAGAACCACTGGTTTATAATATGGTTTGTCTAAGCCGGTTTTTTTATGGTTGTATGTTGATGTTGTAAAATTCATTACCATGTATACTATCTTTCTCTGATGCTAGTAGGGAGAAGAACTATGTCAAGTTAACTGCCGGTTTTTTTTCTCTCCTTCCCCTTTTCTACTGGAGAGAAACAATAAAGTTGAAAGTTGAAAAGCCCTCCATAGGAGGAGAGCACTTCAAAGGGTGCATTGTCCCATGTGGCTCCCTTCGACGCTCCGACTGGCTCGGGGGAGCAAATCTTTCGACATTTCAGCAATCACAGTTCACGTACACGTGCTAGATCACAGTCCAGCCAGCGCACGCTCGCAGCTGCAGCCAATCAGAAAAAACTCGCACAAAACACATATCACAACAGGTTCGTTCGATTTACTTGCACCTCCTGCACTGGTGCAGAAAACTGTAGGGCAGTGTACTTCTAGTATGTGTATGCGGAGTGAAAGTTTGTCTGCTTCTTTTGCAGGTGTAGTGGTGACGTCAGAACTCCGAGCTCCGATTGGCTATGATTGAAGAATAGTGGGTAGACCTCAAAAGAGCTTGCTTTGAGGTATATCTACTATCCTTCAATCAGAGCTCGGTGTTCTGATGCCACCAAACCCCTGCAGAAGAAGCAGACGAACTTGCTCTCCGCATTGACATACGACTGGAAGTACACTGTCCTACACGTTTCTGCACCGGTGCAGGAGGTGCATGTAAATCGAACGAGCCTAGCAATGAACGCGCCCTGAGAGGCTTTTAAACCCATTCGAGACTTTTTACATGTCTTCCTCCAGCAAAAGGGGATAAAAATGTCCCCGCTTTGTTGTAAAAACAGACATGTCCTGCATAACATTGATTCACGTATCATGACTTTAATGAGTTAAGAACTAAAAAATTAAATAGGGTGACCCAAGTCACCAGTCTCGATCTAAAATGGACCATGAAAATCGACGCTTGCAAGTAGCAATCTAAACTTCTTGTCGAAGGTGTATTTCACAGCTAGGTCGACCGGTTTTTTCTTGTAAAATTACAAAGCGTAGCTCTCTTTCTGTAAAAATAAAGCCAAGAAACTTGCCGGGGTCTATGGCGGGCGGCGACGCAGACAACCAAGTCGAGTAGTGGGGTGTGTTTGGCATTCGCACTGATAGCTGGTGCTACCTCCTTATCGCCACAGCTTGCGACCACCGTGGTTTATTAAAATGAACATAATCTTTTTGAAATGTACCTTTGGTTAAAAAATAAATGTGGACAATAAAAGCAAAACTTAAAGTTAAAAAAACGCATCTGCATAACGAGGGCACTTTTGTTGCCAACAGATTTCGTCTGCGTGTCGTCTGCTTTCTTTCGCTGGTTGGCCACACCCAACGTTACTAGATTACCTCAGTTGTGGAACTCCTGCAGAAGGGGGTACCCCCCTTCACTCACTTCAGTCTGCCTCCCGTCGTTTGAAGCGCCATCTAGATTTTCGTTTCATAACAGTGTGGTCTATAGACGCTTTGCAGCAGCTGTGCATGGGCGCCGCCATAAGCGACCTTCAGTTTTTGTTTCCTCTTATTCCGTTCGCTTCACGTCATCATTGCCACAGCAGAACAGGTTATTGCGACTTTAGGTGCTACTGCGTCCTTTTCCTCATCATAGACCTCTTTGGAGGCTCATAAACGCCCGCTTCGGTGGCTCGGCATCTCGATAAAACAGGAGAAGGTCAGCTATGGCGGCTCAATCTGGCGCGTGTGCAAAGCGTCTATAGAGCAGACCTTGAATCCATCTAGACGCTGTGCTTCGGAATGTATGTATTTCATTGAATACACCGCAGTAACCATAGCAGCCGCCTGGCGCGTCGAGCAATGGGAGGCGAGTCATGGTGAGTGAGGGGGGTACTGCTCGTGCAAGCAGCGTCTATGAGCAGTTCCGTAACTGAGCAAATCTAATAATGTTGGCTACACCTTCCAACGCTGCTCCCGACGCCATCTATCAATACGAACGCCAAACACACCCCTACTCGACTTGGTCGTCTGCGTCGCCGCTTGCCGCAGACCCTGGCAAGTTTCTTGGCCCTATTTTTTTTTTTTTTTTTTTTTTTTTTTACAGAAGAGTTACGCTTTGTAATTTTAACAGAAAAACCGACCTGTGAAATACACCTTTGACGAAAAGTTCAGATTGCTACGTGCAGGCGTCGATTTTTAAAGTACATTTTAGATCGAGCCTGGTGACTTGGGTCACCCTATAGATTTCAGCCTCTTGCCGGTTAAGAAAAGCATGACAAGCTCCTCCCAGAAAGCCCTCCACTCTTTCCACTTTTGCAGAGAGAACGCTGGAGAGGATGAAGCCAGCAATCATGGCAAGCAGAGCTTTGTGGCAGGGCTTTTCCCGCGTTTATCAACCTGTAACAGACTATAGTACTGTAACTGCCAACAAATCAATGTGCGAGGAAACTTGCAGATTGTTAAAGTAAATCTGCAAGCCCCGTCAAAATACAAAAGTCGGAAGCATATACTAGATACAACTTCTCTTTCGTCACGTATATCTAAAGAGTCGCCCCTCACCGGGTAGTGCTTGCAGTGTGCCGTGTAGAACGCAGTCTCTTATAAAATCGTGCTTTGGATCATCATCACCGCTCAACTTTGAGCAACAGTGTTCGTGAAGTGTAACGTCTTTCGTAGCCAGGATGACGCCACATGACGTGCACTGCTGCCAGTCTGCCTTGGAAGACTTCCCTTTGGGAGGCATACCGTTCTATTCAAGTGTAACCATGAGACGCAGAAGAACGTATCGTTGGATAAAGCAGCGTCGCCGGAGTTAAAGAACTCAATAAGGCCACACACAACCACATGCAGCGGGAGGGTCGATCAACGCACGTGTTTTTGTTGTGATCAAGACGGGTCGCTTGTCATGAATGGAGGGACGCACGCCAGGGACGCCAGGCATATACGGCTCTGACGCCAGGAGCGGAGCGTGCGACAGGTGGCGCTACCATTCTTCTCTTTTCATTGTCTGTATCTCTCAAGTTTTGAACAGCGCCACTGGCGAGAACCATCAGATATGTTTAGGTCGTTTAGGTCGCGTTTCCACTGCGAGTAGCGTTGCGTACTTTCAGACTCTGTTAGTGCACGTGAACCATTAGCAGGCGCCGAGAGAAGCTGATAGACGCTAGTTTACGCCCGTGAAAGGTGCATGATCGGACGCTAAAACGCCGCGTCACGTCAGCATTAAATGGTCGCGTCTGGCCGAGAGGTAGCGCCAGTAGCGCTGGCTGCATACCCTCTGAATCCTCCAAATAAAAATTAATAAAAATAATTTGGACAATAAATCATTTTGCTGCTAATCGTAATTCTAATTTGCAAGTTTTTTTTTGTTTTTTTTTGTTTTTTTTTTTTTACAGCAAAGCTGTTTTGCTTTAGGATCTGGAAAAAAAATGCGTCCGCGGATTGACAGAAAACTCCCCATTGGTCGTGGCAAGTATGAATGAATAAAAATAAAAAGAGGGGCAACCAGCGTGAGTCAGCCTTCCTTGGCATTACTATAGGTCCTAAGCCCTTGTTATCATCTCTAGGCATTGTCCTCGAGGTTGCCGGAGAGACCATCCTCTAGGCATCGTCCTCGAGGTCCTCGTAGACGTCGTCCTCAAGGTCGTCCTAGGCGTCATCCTCTAGGATCGTCCTAGAAGTCGTCTTTGAGGTCATCCTAGACATCGTCCTCTAGGCATCATCCTAGATGTCGTAAAAGTAATAGCTTCATTGGTCCTCCTTCACGTGAAGTGGAAGGGCTCTAAAATTTTTGCTACGTAATGGACCTTTTCCGCATACCGACAGCACCAGGCGGTGGATGCACGAACTAAAAATCGAGGAAGTGACCAACCTGCGCTACCAATCGATAATGGGAGCTGCGCTACCAGCTTCTTCGCTCTCCGAGTTGTGGCGCGTGCCCGACGCGACTTCAAAAAGGGGCCCCCATCCGTGGCATCCACCCAAACGTCGTGTTTTTCTTTCCATCCAATTTCTTTTTTTCTTGTGTAACAGAATTATATATATGCTGCAATTACCTGTTCTACTCGCTGATCCACAGCCTCCTTCCGAATTTCCTCGATTTTTCGTGCCGACTTCCGCCGCTTGGCATCGGGCGCTCGCGCGTGCGCAGAACGCTTCTTGGAAAAGGTCCATTCTTTTCTAAAAGTGCATCATTTTTTTATTTCATAGTTTTCAGATTTTTATTGTGCACAGCTCTTAGCACTGGTGATACTGGGATGATTTACATTAATAATGCCGCATAAAAAATGATTTCTAGTCTTTGTGAAGCAAATTTATGAAGTGGACAACAAATGCAGAAAGCAAGTTCATCTGCTTCTTTTGCAAGGGCTGGGGTGACGCCAGAACGCCGAGCCTTGATTGAAGGATAGTGGGCAGACCTCAAGGCAGCTTGCTTTGAGGACTACCCACTATTCTTTAATCGGAGCCAATCAGAGCTCGGCATCCTGACATCAAACCTCTGCACAAGCAGCAGACAAACTTGTACTCCACATAAGCTTAGCCCAGCGGCAAGTCCGCTTTGCGCATGGCTCAAGAGACTGCTCCGACGCTGTAAAAGGACTAATTTCGTACAGCGGCATTCGCTTTGCGCGTGGCAAAGCGAATGCCGCTGTACGAAATTAGTCTTTTTACAGCGATAGCTGTTAGTGCCTTTTCAGTGAAAAACAGCAATGTTCGAATGCAAAATCCCAGGTGAATACCACCCAGAATACAAGACCTGCACCTCTCCCCCCCAAAACATCATCACTAGTGGATCTACGCGGCGCTGCCTAGATCCTCATAGATCCTCACAGAACCACGTCAAATGTGGCACAAAAGTGCAGAGCTCAAATTGCCAACCAGGCATAGGCTGTTCCGACTGCATCTTTGATTTCGAAACCTGCACACTAAAGTATCTGGAGCCCCTACACCTCACGCTTGCGGTCGTCAGCTACTGGCTGCAACAGGCGTGTTCGCTGACCAGCTCCATCCGTTGCTGCTGAACAAGGTTTTCCTGCAATTGCTTCCACGAGCGAGCCAGTCCTCGAAGTATGTCTAAAGAAAACCGCAATCAGCGGACGACCCGAACCCTGCAAGCATCGAGGAAGTCCTGCTTGGCGTGTCTGACGAGCAGATTACGAGAGTCATCGTAAACGATTGAGACCTGCAAGAACTTTTAGAAGTTTTAGAGCCGCCCCGCATCCCTTGCGACACCAACCTTATGTATTGCCAGCTGCAGACGTGTTTGCTGTTTGGGAGGATGGTCAACAGGGTGCTGCTTCGGTTGCACAGACGCACAGTTCCATCATTCCATCATTCGTTCAATGGCCCTTTCCTATACAACTTTACTGAGGAGCCGGACACACGACCCAACCCAGACTTGTTCATAGCAGAATACCTCGGACGGAGATCTCCTCCTGAAGTTACGTTTTCGGGATTTTACAAATAAAAGTTCTGCAGTGTACCTTCCGACTATGCAGAGTGCAAGTTCATCTGCTTCTTTTGCAACGGTTGTGTCATGATCAGAACGCTGAGCTCTGATTGAAGGATAGTGAGTAGAGCTCAAGGCAGCATGCTTTGAGGTCTATCCAAAGCGTGCTGAAACGGCGGAATAGACCCTTTAGAAATTTCCAAATGATGCATAAATTTTGGGAGACCGTCATTAGTAGCTGTCATGCAGCATGAGTATGCATTGGGCACGAGCACTTCGTCAGCATTCAGAGTGTACTTGGATCGAAACGCATTCCACACGAATACTGCGTCAGTGCTGGGCGCGAACTCAGAACCAATCACAGGCTTCATGCCGGAAGCGATGAGACCAACTATGCATCATTTCACAATTTCAGGAAGGGTTTATAGGACACTAAACACCAGCCGGAGACACGTTCCGGACACAGAAGCTGAACCGCTGTTTTAAGCAGAGAATTGCGTCATCGAGGAAGAAGAACAATGCTCGCAACCAATTAATTCCGACAAAGAAGAGTTGGAGTCGTTAGTACCTTTGACGAATAGGCTTGCAGACCTGCAATGCAGAGACGTAGCCCATTTCCATGTCGTGTATCCTGTGCAGGTTTTTTTTTATGTCATGTTCACCGCAATTTAGCACAAAGATCCAAACACAATATTTGCACTTTCTGGCATTTTAGTCGCACTGGTTAGCGCCGAACGCCAAACGTGCACCACAGTTGGTTCTGCATGTGCTTGCATTCGACCAAATTGATATTTTCAGTGGTGGACAATTTGCAGCGTTAACCAAATGAGGGGGGGGGGGCAGGGGGAATGGAGCAATTTTGCATTTGAGTTCACTAGTCTTGCTTGTGTACACAAAATGGATGCTGCCAGTATCCAAAGCACACTTCTTAAGATGGCTTCGAGGGAAATTCTTTCACTTGGCGCGTGTATATACTAGATAATGCTTCAACATTAAAAAATCGTGCACCTATTATTGGGAGTTTCGTGCTTGTCTTTTAATTTTAGGAACCCATTTAGCTTGATTTATATTTTCAACTCTCTTAGTAAAAGGTTCAGACTTGAATTTGCATCTGTAATATGTAATTCACTATCAAAATAAGCCGTAAATGTCGAGCTTGTTCAGAAAAGAACAAAAAAATATATAGTTTATGACAGGTACTTATAATGGCATACTTATTATGACAATGAATATCTGCTAGAAAAATATTCTCTTTCACTTTTGTCCAAGAGAAGAGAGGCTTGTGACACAAGCTTTTCTAGGTAAAGTTGCAAATAGCGCTATCAACTTGGCTCACGTCCTCTGTAAAGTTAATTTTCATGTCAATTTTTGCTCTACCAGGCATTTAAGTGAATGTTTGAACCACTTGTCCGATTTAAATGACATTTACAGCCTACAGGGCTTGTTTCTGTTGGCGTTGAGAAAATTTCTGCCAAATTTTGTTAACCTGGGTGAAGTACAAAAAAAATAGCAAATCTTTTTGAAATAAATTACTTATAAATGTGTTGTTTTTATGAGTTATATTGATTTAGGAAAGTTGACAGCAGATAGCTATGGAGCTATATTTCTACATTATAGTACCACCTTTCATGACATAAAAGCCACATACACACAAATACAGTCGAATCTCGTTAATTCGAACTCAAGGGGGACCGAAAATTTGTTTGAATTACCGGGAGTTTCCTCCCATAGGGACGCTTAGGATGGGACCTGCATGTTAGTTTGAATTATCCGCAAGTTTGAATGAAGAGAGTTTGAATTAATGAGAGTCGACTGTACTGTTTTTTTAGATGTCTATCCTTTGTCCAAAATTTTAGTTCTTGAGCATGAAAAATTACAAAAATAAAAAAATACAAGCTCATAGTTATCTTCCCCTTCAAATTTCACCCCAGAAAAACTCATAAAAGTGAATCCAAGTTATGTGCTAACAAAACAACAGTTTTCCTCAAGTAAAATTTATGCCAAAAGGGGGAATAAATTAATTAATTAACCGAGAATAATTCATAAAAAATTAACTATGCAGTGTAAACTTATGAAGCTTTCTGGGAGTACTCTCTAGATGTTGGTGGATGTAAATGACATTTTTCACAACCAACGTTTTTAGCAGAAATCGTTTTTTCTGGGTAGTGTCCGCCCTTAATCTTTTGATAGTCACTCACCCTGCGAGATTTCATCCCTTTCTTGGATCCAGTCGCTCTATAGAGAGTATTTACTAGACGCCATTATTGTGGGTGCTGTTTAGAGCGCATGCTCAGAACGAGCTCACATCAATAGGCTGCTAAGACCGGTACTCTTGATGGTGCGGAATGCACGTTGCAAAAGAACTGTGGAAGCTCGCTATCAGCACGCGCTCAGCATTCGCGCACACAGCTATGGCCGCCAGTGAATACTCCCTATAACAGTATCACCGCTCCGGATCTCGACATCTGTGCATCAAACTCCCAAGTTCCACCGCCTGTTGACTAATTCAACCTTTACTAATTTATATTTTTGTATGTTGTACAAGTATTTATATCAGTGGGTGTTCAGCAGGATCCTGCATATTTTTGTTTCTTATGGCGTTTTTGTGGAAGTGCACCAATCTAAAGACCGTAGTGGTTGTTTTCGAGAACTTTAAAGAAAGAGTATAATTATTATTATTATTATTATTATACTGGTTTAGTCGATGCCTTATAACGAATCCTTTCACTGGCCTTAAAACCAGGGTGTCGAACCGGAACCGAATCGAACCGAAAACCGGAACCGAACCGGTATTTTTTCCGGAACTGAACCCGAACCCGAACCTTTATATTGTTATCGCGATGAACCGGAACTGAACCGGAAAAAAAACAACGGTTACCGGCTCATGTCAAAACGGTTCGGCCACGCGCTGTTGACAAGGAATGTGCTATCAATGCCATTTGTTTTTTAAGTGCCGTCAACTGACACACAACTCGCTTACATATTTTTCTTCTCCACTCACTCTTGGGAATATAAACGCTGAATCCATTAATCTTGACAAACGCTACATCCTTTAGACGTCCAGGTAATATAGTGTGCGGTGTAGTAAGTTTTGTGCGAGTGGCGGCCGCTGACGAAAGCCAGCACCACGATGCATCCGGTTTCGTATAGGCACTTAGAAGCTAACATATTCGTGAAACAGCGAACTCTTCTATTTTAATATTTATCCTATTACGTCCTTCTGGCCTTGCGTTCGGTGAAGTGTTTTTCATATTCCGTATCTTGTATAATGAAAACTTCTTTAAGGGTCTAATTTGAGTTACCGAAGGCTAGTTCAAATAAAGAAAGCTGTATCTTCTCTCCACTGTTCCTTCAATTGCTTACACGCCAAGGTGGCGGGATAGTTAGCGAGTTCTACTTGTAGTGGGTTTGTAAGGAGGTCGCAGATTTTACAGCTACTGCGTCGGGCCCAACTAGATGAAGTCCGAATGCGTAAACGTCGGTGAGGTAACCTTTGAGTGCACATAAAGAAACCATTCCTGGTAGAAATCCCTGAGCCTTACACTACGATGTATCCCGTTTCGTATGTGCTGATTTCAGATGTTTTATTTGTAACTTATTTTGATGTTGCAATTTGTCATTTATAATTTCCGAACCGGTTCGCAAACCGGTTCGCGGATCGAATTCATCGAACCGGAACTGAACCGGAACAAAATAAATTTACCTGAACCTGAACCGTAACCGAACCCGTATTTTTTTCGGTTCGACACACTGTTTAAAACCTACAAGCTGAAACTGCATGGATTTAGCTGCCTACAGAAAAGGCCTCAAGAATAACTATGAATTACGAATACACTTTTGAGGATGCCTCATACCTTCGAAAGAAACTGCTGAAATGAAAGACAAACCTCAAATCTTTGTAGGAATAATTTATTTTGCGAGCAACAATGCTAGTAGAAAAAGCTGAAAATTGGATTGGACGACAAACGATTTCATGACTATCAGTTGTGGCAATCAATACAAATAAGTATTACTAGTATTTAATAAAGTAGACACCGTGTTAAAAAATATGAACCCTCGGCAACAGTAAAGTAGAAAAACATATATAGATATATATAAGCTCTGCAATCACAAATGCTCGTCGGGCAAAACGCCCAACCTTTGACACGAGCGAGAATGGTTTCTAACTAGCATTTGGCCGCTAGCCAATCGACAGTTGTAAAAGACGTGTCCAAACCATTTAACAAAAAAATATCTTCTTAGTGTCGCCTGCCTGTGAGTAGTCCTGTAGCTTCGGGAGTCAGCAGGCGAACAAACGCTGGTTTCAGGTCAAAAAAAAAAGGGGGTGGAGAAAAGAATTAGCAATTTCTAGATTGACACATTCATTTTCCCACTCTTCAAAGCATTCAAAAAGGCACTGCCCCACTCATTTTGTACAGCGATAACCGTTATAGGGGCCTCTGAGGAGCATTTGTGGCATTGGTGTTGTGCCAGGCAGAATGACAGACAAAGCCCACACACTTGGCTCTTGTCAGGCGGCACTGTCTTCTATATCTACAGTTGGTGGGGAATGCTGCTACACGCATTCCTCACCGTAGAACTCCATTTGTACGTGGTATCAGGTGCAAAGCAACCTACCGCTAGTAATGATACCTGTAAGAACTTGAGATTGGGCGAGTTGGTTGTTCATGTTTGTCTCGTATGTCGTCTTTTTCTATTTGCAAATCGTCTAAAATCTGAAGAAGTACAGTGAAACCCGTTTAGAACGAACCCACGTACAGCGAGATATTGTCGATATCGAACTCACGGAACATTCAAATAAAAATGCACGGAAAAAGTACTTATATTATAACGAACAACATATTGGCTATATCGAACTTTTTCCCCCCAGGAAGGCCTCCAAAAACGCACAAACAATTGTCTTCTAGCGTGCCCTTCCCCCAAGAAAGAAGTAGGAAAGAAAGAAAATTCCAAAAGCTCAAGTTGCAAACAAAATTGAGCGAGGAGAAGCAATTCAGTATGGGACGAAGTTAAAAAATACTCTAAACGCATACCCAGAAAAAAAAAAAAAAACTTTTAAATTTAAGACGTTTTCCCACGAAGAGAAGCGAATCAGGAGGGGAGATAAGCTATAAGAACAAACCCTGCACGCACGCACAAAAGAAAGAAAAAAAACTTTTTTAGTCCGAGTTACAAGTCGAAAGTGAAGAGATGAGAAAGAAAGAGAAGCTCTCGCCTTACAACGAACGCATGTGGAAGTTCGTTGTAAATGTTTTTTGCTACATCGAACTACTTGCTATATCGAACTGATCGTAGCGTTTCCTGCTGTTCGTTATAAACGGGTTTGACTGTAGAAGCCGAAGTAAAACACGCAATACAAAGTTGTTAGTGAGCGCTGTGTGAGAGGAGTGTTCTTTGGGTGTGTGAATGCTTGAGTGACAGTTTTTCGAGTGCGCTAAACGTCGACAAATAATGATACCTGTCTCAATTTACTCTTAGGCAGGGACAATAACGCACGTGTGCACTGCGTTTCCTCTCCTACATGCTTCAGTGACCACAATGTGTGCGATTGAGTAAATAAAGAATGGATGTGCATAAAAGTGGGTGTTATACTATCTGTAATAAATAAGGAAGGTACTCAGATGATCGAATGGTGTTTTAGCAAACGCCGACGTTTCACTGAATGACACTTTAGCAAATAGTCGGCCGCTGCGAAACGGCATTTACAGGTGGGCCAAAATAACATTTTTGTAATGAGCCACTGCAGACTGCTGCCACGAAGCGCTGTAAGTGCAGCGCAGGGGGGTAGGTTAACACGCGCCCCCATTATTAAAAAAACGTAGCTGTTCACTAAAACGTTATTCGGTCATGTGATATGGAACCGCGCAATAAACAGCTATCGCTGTCGCTTCTTTCCTTGCTGTGGTGAAAAGCTGTGGACTGTATCATCAATCGTCGAGACACAAAAAGCATTTTCCGATGCAAATCAAAAAATGCTTTTTGAAACGCTTGAATTTGAAATGCTTGAAATGCTTTTGAAATGCTTGAAAAAAAAAGTTACAAAGTGGTGAATTGATCAAGATCAAATCACCTTGGTCGATGAGGCCGCGGTCAAAGTTCTTGTAGACTTGCAACAGCTCAATGTGAAGGTAGACTCTCATGACGACGCAGAAAAGACCTGCAAGCCAAAGTAAGAGCTCTAGCACCACACTGCTAGCTGCAATGCCATCCACATGCCAGCATTTTACTTCAGATTTTTCCTCAGCAGCCGCCATGAGCAAAACTTGCACATGACAAACATATGACCTAAAGTACCAGTACTTTATTTTTAAAAGCATGTGAAGATATATATCGTAATTGTGTGAAGAGTTGTTTTCACCTTGAAGAGCCCGGGAACTTACGTACACACTATTATTATTTCGAAATTCACCAATACCAAAGTTTGTCAGGTTAGTACATCTGTCCAGGGTGCTCACCAGAATCACCAATTCTAATTTCTGGGCTTTCCCACAGTGCCTTCTTGCACAGATCCCAGATGAACCCATAGAAACTGGGACAGCTATACTCTGTTTCACATGAAGTCCGAGAGCAGACAATGCTTACAATCCAGTGCAGCTACTCAAGCAGTGCCAAAAGTGCATTGCCATGGTCGTCTTTGTATTTGTGCGGCTGCTATCACCAGCAAACGCAACGAATACCTCATGACTCCAAACTTTTTTTTCCCGGAGTGCGATTTTTTTTAGCAGCCAATGATGACCAAGCGCAAGAGAAGTCGAGCGCTGCGACTATGCACTTTTTGGCGCAGCTTAATCGGCTCTGTTAGATTGTAGCATCTGCCACGCTCGGACATGAATGGTGCGAAATGCACTATTAGCCCCGAGAGCGAGCACAAGCGTCGCTGCCGTCGCCGCGCCCTGATTGGGTGAGGTGTACCGTGACGTCAGGGCGAGTACCCCGCTCCGCGATCTCGCATCGGCTCGCCTCCCAGCACCGGTTTCCTGGTTTGGCGTTGTGTGCCGCAAACTCTTCGAGGAGCTGCACTTCGTTTACCTGATGTGCAAGACGTTGAGTTAGGCCGATATTGGCGTGCTTCCGTACATTTTATAAGCCTGCTTGTCCCTTTTACCTTTAAAATTGCGTTACAAATCCCGAAACTATCGGCGGAGGCAATTCCGCCGATGAACCTCCCCGTCCGTCCACACGACGCAAGGCAATCTTGCGAGAGGTCGGTGAAGCGATGGCGCAAGCGTTTCAGACGCTGAAATTCTGTTCCTTGCAGGTTCATGATTTAATACGTATTACATCCCGCTTTCAAGGCATTTGAAGTGGCATTTATATCATGGGCCTTTGGGTGGTCGGCAAATTAGCTCGCGACCCTGACTCTGCGGTGCCACTCTGCATGCGCTGGTTCGCAGATGTTTTTTTTAAGTGCTCGTGGAACAGGGTTGTTTTACATAAAGGTAGCTTCTTCGTGAATTAATTATATAGTTTATACACGTATGCAGGCATATTTCTTAGAAGCTGCACAATTACTGGAAATTAGCTTGTATGGTAGCAGCAAAAACGTCCGAATTGCCCCCCGTTGTCTGTATGATATGTATTGAACTGCCAAACTATGCACGGCAATAGTGCCGTAATATGGAATGTTTATACTTTTTCCTGACATTCTTAATTACAGCCTATTCCAAAAATACACCGTTTAGTCTGAATTGTCATTTCCAATTAAAACAGACACTGCTGCAGGTCCCCAAAAGCTTCCTCAGCCTCCAAACACCCAACAGCTGGACTCTCTGACAACAGAGGAAAGCAGGAGTAAAAGCAAGCATTCGAACGTCTGTCCAATGGTAGATGCAGCACTAGCAGCAGAAAATTTAGAAGCTGTGAAGGGCGACAGTCTGCGTGAGAAAAGCTTCTGGTATTTTAGCTTCAGGACAATTCGATATAAGTAAAATCTCAATTTTAGGGCTTAAGGGGCTAATAACGAGCTAGACACCTTCGCTTACGTTTGTTATACATTACTTGAGGGTTGATATAAACAAGTCCACAGATACCACCCGTGTAGTCCATTGAAGTACTATCCGAATCCAGCAAAGGTCAAATGCAAGCACTGTATATAATAAATGTTCCTTGTTTTTGTTTTTTTTTTACTTTGCCCCTGCACTTGGGCTGTCTTACTTGTGATTTTTTCTTGATGGCCCAGACTGTATTTAACATGTTGCTCGAGCAGCATGCAGCTTTTCTGCTTCGGCGATCTTGTTTAAAAACAGAGATACAAAAAAAATAATATGCATATCCTGCCAATTCATTCAGATCATCAGCAGCATTTATTGTGCAAAATGTAAATCTATAGTGATGCTCCTGCAATTATGGCCATATTTCTTTATTTTCATATACCAGCTGTGATTCATGCGTTGCCTGCCCTGTCAACCATGCTTAAAATGTTGGTTGAAGTTTCGCCTGTAGCTACAGGCCATACCTCAATAAAGGCTCATACAAAAATTTACACTTCCTACGAAAAACACGCAAAAAAAAATTAAATAGAAACGAGCGCGCCGTCAGCTAGCGTCGTCACAGCCTCCACAGGGCGAGCGGGCCGAGTCGGGGAAAAATTCTCTCCTCGCCGTGACGTCACCCCGGTTTGCCGTAAGGGGGCGCCACGCGAACTTCTCGGGGCTAATAGAACAACCAAGAATAACAATGGCAAGCTGAACTCCTAGCTGAGCCCTCTATCATATGTATACGACCCTAGATGGACTGACACATTGCCCCTGGCAGCACAAAAAGAGTCGGGTGTAAGTCTTTCACGTGGACGTGTCACGAGAAACAGTGCAGCAAGAAATGCTTTCCCAGACATTTTTCAAACTGTTCCTTTTCCTTGCACCGCCAACTCTGTATTGGCAAGGATGCGGTCACGTGGGCCAAGCTGGATCCATCCTTCATAAGGGAAAGCGACCTTGCAGGCACAAAGTTTCGGGCGGAGTATGTTTCTCGCTTTGCTTTTGCGAAATATACGAGGTGTGATCAAAAAGTTCCGGGACTGATTTTGTAGCGTAAAAAGAAAGGGCAGCACAGTGATGCGCGTGCAGCTGTCGAAGGAAGGCACCTTCGTGTCTCTGTATACCAAAAGGCGTCACTCTGTGAACATATGAAGCTGCATTATACGAGTTTTTGTAACCACGTGCTCGGGCACAAGGGCAATTTTACAATATACTGCAAACCAGAGCGAGAGCGAACATACATGCTGCGTCAAACTCGGCAAATATAAAACACAGACCTTTGAAATGATACCGTAGGGTTGAATCAAAAAGCAGTGAATTTAGCAAAGTGTTTGAAGGGGCACTCGGGCATCAGGAACGGCAGAACATTGCTGGAAGACGAAGAGCGGTAGAGCGACCTCATCTGACTTCTTCACTTCAGTGATATTCTGCATTCTTGAGGCAGGAGTGCCACTTAATACACATCGCACAACTTACTGTTTTTTTCACATAAGACTTCTAAATCCTTTCAAAGATCTCTGCTTTATAGTTGCCGAGTTTGACATAAAATTCCTGTTCGGTCTCGCATTTGTTTGCAGTCAACCAGGGATCGCCATTATGCTCGTGCATGTAATCAAACACACTCGTGTAACACACTTCCAAATGTTCACAGAGCATAATGACACAGTAAGGTCCCTTCCTTCGACTGCTGCGCGCATCACGGTGCTGACCTCTCTTTTTACGCTACAAAATCAGTCCCGGAACTTTTTGATCACACCTCATACATCCTACAGCTGGTATGCCAGAGCTGCCGCCGCCGCACGCGCATCGTCGGTCTCCGCATGCGCGAGGAGAAGTTTCGTCACACGGCGCACAGCTGGCACACCGGAGCCGCCGCCGCCGCGTGCTCCACTGCCACCGCGTGCGCCCCGCCGGTCTGCGCAATCCAGAGGAGTGACATCATAGCCACGGCAGACGCACTGGCAATGCCGCGTGCCCAGCTGTGAGCCTCCGTTGCGCAGTAGCCAAGTCTGACGCTGTACCGGAGCCGCTTGATAGCGCTTCTCATTTTGTGCGCATAAGCTCACGCTACGTATATCCTGGCATAGCCGAGCTAAGCCATCGCAATCTTTTTTTTCCCCAAAAGATGGCGATTTATCGTAATCAAATGCGCAACCGAGGAAGAGCAAACTTTGCGCAGTACGCCTCCTTGAAAGCCTTCTAAGTCTCATAGTTCGGGTGCATCTACGGTCAATTTCGTTGATGACGCTACCACAAGTGAGTTGGAGGAAGATGATGTCGAACCACCATATTTTAGTTCTGACAGCAATGATTTGTCATATCAGCCCGGAACATAAACGACTGTGCATCGGTAAGGCTTGTTTTGGTTTTCATGTTCTTTGCTGGTCTCGGATGCAAGTCTGGTCGAGTTGTGCTTGTTGTCAATGCATGTGGTGATTAGAATAAACAATCTAGTTCCAGCTTCTGTTTGGTTATACTTTTCCCTCATGATATGTCAGTTTATCGTAAACAAACATGCAACCGAGGAGATGGCGCTTGGAGGAAGTAGAGCTTGGCTATGCAAACATGGTGTCTATAAAAAATGGTTGTGGGGGATTCCCATCCGAGTTGAAAGGTCTCGGATGGGAGAAAAAGGCAAAAAGAGGTGATGGTCGGTGGCTATGGGATCAAAATGCATTATGTTTTGAACGGAAAGACCAGCGCGTCATAGACGTGATGAGCACTGCACATACTGAACAACTGCATCACGAGCCTCCCGAAGTAATAAAGAAGCGGCACAACTGCAGAATGTGTTACGAGGAGTGCGAAATTGAGCACAGCTAGGACAAATGTCTTCTGCAACTCGTGCTACATTTACCTGTGTTTTACCCCACCTAAAAACTGCTTCACTGAAAGGCGTGCAGCATGCCACAATGGTTGAGACTACATGGTAGAACTTCAGCATTTATCTGGAGCACTGCAATTCGCAGCCAGTCTTGTTTTCTAATTTGGCACATTTTGTATATTTTGAAACTTTTTAGCTGTCATTTTTTACCGAGATATCTGTGTATATCTTTCTCACGCTTGTTGTGGTGACCGCAATATTTCGGTTTCAGTAATTAGATTATGCATAATTTATTCCTGCATTTATTTCAAAATAGGTTCACCTTTTTATGAGCAGACCTGTGTATACTTACCCACAGAACCCAAAGAAACCAATCATTAGGACTCATGAAAGCAGCCGGCAAATAACAAAACAGAGATAACGTTTGGAATAAAAAAAAACACAGATCTCATTTCTGCATTTCGACGTTATCGGTGCCTCTTCATTCGTCAGGCCTCTTCCATGAATTGCAATGATTGGATCTTCTTGAGCGCTGCAGAAAAATACACGGGCAGGCATTGTTCATAAAAAGGTCGACCTACTTTCGAATAAATATGGTAGACTCCCGTTTCATACTTGTATAATTAAAAAGAGCATTTATTGTGCTACATTTTTATATACTCCAACAAATTTTAAAAGCAAATGTTTAAAAAAAAAAAAAAAAAGGGTACTGGGACTCTTAATGTATGGGCAGTTTTCCCGTGGTAAGTTAAATGTTACGAGTCACAGCCTTTTTAAAAGTAAAAGACTGTTTCCAAAGGTTACCTGCTCCCCAGTGAACCAGTGGAGAATCTCGAGTATGCATTTGATGGTCCAGCGGAAACCGCGCAGTCATCTGCAATTAAAATGAAACACATGCTTGAAGCTCATCCTTGAAGAACAACTACCATACTTTCTGAACTATAGTTTGCACCCGGTGCATAGTCCACACAAAAAAATTTAAGATCAAAATAAAAGATTTTGCTTAGATAGTTTGCACGCTGTGCACAGTCCGCACTTAGTGCATACCATAGTACCCGCACTTAGTGCCTAGTCCGAACAAAAAAATTATAATACACAGCACACCTTGACAAATGCCTGCTGTATTGGCTCACAAAGAAGCTTGTATCATACATAAATCAATATTAATATACTGTGTTATTAATAAAAACCTTCACATCTTATCAGAGTGAACGATCTAGACAAATCCTTGCATAGTCTGCACCGGTAGATAGTCCGCATCAGGTAAAATTTCAACGTTTACAGATGTATAGTCCAAGGACTATAGTTCGGAAAATACGGCATTGTACAATCTGTGCCACATTTTTCAGAATATAATCCGGAACCAGTGTATAATCTGCAGGGGCAAATTTAGGCTCAAAAATAAGATTTTCCTTAGATAGCTCACGTTCGGTGGATAGTTTGCCCATAAAATTCTCATACACGGCACACCTTAAAGGGGCACTGACACATCAAAATCGTCTTTTTTTTTATTACCCGTAACAATTGAAAACGATGCCGGGATCATTACTCTCAAAATTCGAAACTTGGGAATTCAGTATTTCTGAATTAAAAAAAGTGAAAGCCGTTTACAAATCCCTGTAAAGCCGAATTAGAGCGCAGCTCTTGAGGAGGAGGGAAGGGTAGTGGGGGAGGGGTTCACGTGACCTTGAGGAGTCACGTGACCTGGGGGTCACATGACGATGACAATGCCGATGATGTCATCAGTGACGATGACGATGCGGATGACGATGACGTCATTAGTGACGTCACTGATGACGTCACCAGTGATGATGACGATGACGATGCGGATGTTGGTGACGTCATCAGTGACGTCACTGATGATGTCATCAGTGATGATGATGATGCGGATGCCGGTGACATCAGTGAAGTCACTGATGACGTCATCAGTGATGATGACGATGACGATGCGGATGCCGTCATCAGTGAAAATGACGTCATCGGGGGGGGGGGGGGTCACGTGACCTCGGGGAGGGGGGGTCACGTGCCCCCCCCCCCCCCCCCCCCTCTCCCGAGGTCCTGTGACCCCAGGAAGGGGCTCGCACGGTGCATTATCGGACATTTCCCATACTGCACCGTGCGGTTACGCCGACGCAGACGCCGCTCAAGCCGGAAACGGGCGCCTAAGAGCTGCACTCTAAAGCAATTTCCAGATGCCGAATTTGAAGTTCCCGTGCGATCCGCGCCAGTGCAGTGAGTCATATTTTGCGGTCTCCTGCGACTCGACTTTTTTTTCAGACCTCCGCTCCCCGCTATGAAGCAAAGCACCGTTGCCACAGCGACCCGAAGCGAGGAGGAGGTGAGCAGGCGGGATAGAAGCCGGCGCAAGAAAAAAACAGTTTGTTCCCCGACTCGCCAGTAATCCTCTGCTTGAGCGCCGCCAAGTTTTCCGAGGGAGGATACAAATCCAGGAAGCGACATCACACCGAAATCTGATTTTTGGTATTTCAAAAATTGGTATTTTGCTATTGCATTAAAAAACATGTTTTACATTGCCATTATTGAATGTTATAGAAATGTCGCCTACATTGCTTCTAAATTTCCTGATTTTTGACGTCACCGATCTAAAGAAGTAAGGAGGTGAGCGCAGGAGATATAAACGCCAAAAATAAAAAGGCGCGCTCGCGCGCAAAAAAATTTTTTTTTCGCGATGCGTTTTTTTTTTATGTGTCTACAGTCAAACCTGTTTATAACGAACACAAGGAAACGCTACGATCAGTTCGATATAGCAAGTGGTTCGATATAGCAAAAAAACATTATGAACTTCCACAATGAGTTCCTTGTAAGGCGAAAGCCTCTCTTTCTTTCTCATCTCTTCACTTCCGCCTTGTAACAACGCGCTATTTTTGTTTTTGGCATGCGTGCAGATCTTTTTTTCTTAAATTTTTCTGCCCTTCTGAATGGCTTCCCTTCGTGGGCAAACGCTTTGGGATGAAAATTTTTTTTTGCGCGTGCGTGCAGAATGTTTTTTTTTTTAGCTTTCTCCCTTTCTGCATCGCTTCTCTTCGCCCAATTTTGTTCGCAACTTGAGCTTTCGGAATTTTCTTTCTTTCCTACTTCTTTTTTGGGGGAAGGGACAGGCTAGAAGATGCTTTTTCGCGCGTTTTTGGAAGCCTTCCCGGGGGGAAAATGTTCGATATAGCCGATATGTTGTTCGATATAAAACATACTTTTTATGTGCAGTTTTATTTAAATTTTTCGTGAGTTCGATATAGACAATAATTCGCTGTACATGGGTTCGTTATAAACGGGTTTTACGTATGACTACAACTTGCATCGTTTTAAGACAACTAAAAAGGATACGACCTTTGGAGTGTCAGTGCCCCTTTAAGAAATGCCTGCTGTATTAGCGCACAAAGAAGCTTGTATCCGACAGAAATCATTGTTAACATAAACCGTCATTCAACAGACCCACGACGTCTTGTCGTAACGAACGACCTTGAAAAACATACTGTATAGTCCGCACCTATAGATAGTCAGCACCACACAAAATTTGGCTTTTTGAACATGTATAGCCGGTGGGCTATAGTTTAGAAAACATGGTAATGGGTCAAAGTCGAAAAGTTGTTGCCCCACTTATTTGAAACCAATTTTTATAAATCTTGCGACAAAACGAAGTATCAGTGGTGCCACCTACTAGAAATCAACAGAACAATCCCCTCTCCGTTGCTTCTACGATGAACAAATAAGAAAGTCGCTTTACATTTATTTTCTCCTTTGTTTGACTGCCTTCCGCGAACCTCGGCAATTATGGCTGGTGGCGGCGTTCCTACACGTTCGAACCGGAACCTCGGAAGTGTTGTGATCTAGGGCGAAAGCTTCCAGAGATGAAGAGTGATCAGTTTGCGAGCACTTGTGAGATGAATTCTCGCCGTAGCACAATGCTTCGTATGGGCGCCAAAGACGGAACACAACCACAAGCAACGTTTCCCCCTTGACTACATCACTGCATGGTTGCCAGTATTACGAACATTGATTTTAAATGTCAAGAAACAGTTTTCCGTCCTCCAGCAACATTAAACCAGCCTGCAACGAAGCAAAATGATGGCACCCGAGCTTTTGTACACAGCATATGAAACTCGTAAGGTCACACTTTCGAATCGCAATGATTGCCTATTGAGTTCGCTCTGCACAAAGTGCCAAGATTGTGGCGCCCACGGGAGAATCGGGGAACGGACTACCAACAACTTTAGACGTAGATCGTTCGGTGGCTCTAGCACTAGGGATGTCGCGAACCACCCCAGGTTCGATTTCGAAAGGTTTCGATATTTGCAAAGCGAACTGAGGTTCGATTTCGAAAAATTTCGATATTTTCGTACCGACCCAGGTTCGAATTCGAAACATTCGCAACTTTCGATCTCAGTGGAGTTTCGAATTCGAAAAGTTCGCAGCTTTCACGGTTTCTAAAATTTCGGATTCGAATATTTCAATATTTTTTTACTTCAGGTTCGATAAATTCGAAGATTTCGAAATTCTTTGGATATAAAATTCAAAAACTTCGAACGCTTCGGATTTTTGTAGACATGACGTTCGAACAATTCGAAGATTTCGAATTTCTTTCTGCATAAAGTTCGAAAAGTTCGCAGGATTCGATTCTCTTTTAACGCTAAATTCGAAAAAAACAAAAAAAAAACGAAGATTTTAAATTCTTTTTTAGTTCAAGTTTTCAAAGTTCTAAGTCCGGTTTTCAAGTTCCTCAACATTTTGTTTCAAATAACGTTTTCACGACTCAATGGTTTTCACAAAATCAAGTTTAGAAAAGTTAGGGTGTGATATCTAGATTCTGCGAAGTTGGTCAGGCAATTAAATGAGACGACGAGTGTCCCGGATGGTGCTGGAATATTTGGCAGTGCAGAGTGACGTGTGACCATAGATCAGTAATTGTGACCGCCAGCCTGGGGGGGGGGGGGGGATCTTTAACCTGCATCACGCAGTAGTGATCACACGAACAGACTGTTTTACGAGACTCATCCAGTTCGAAACGGCCAGGGGCGAGTAGTTGGTTGAGGCTCAGAAAAACCTTGTAGCGACCTGGCAAACTACCTCGCCACCCCCTGCACGCTGGTAGTAATCCGATCGGACGCCGCCCGAATGACGCTGGCATATAGTAAGTTAAGTTTGTAATTGTTCTGGAGGTTTATTTTCAGGAACGGAGCAATCGCCTCGCAAAAAGCCGACGCAACTCGAGGTCGAGGAGCGTTTTACCATACAAGTGGCTTCGGAATAGGAAAAACGGGGGAAAGAGGGTAGCAAGGGGGGGGGGGGGGGGGGCTTCGGTTTCCTTCCCCCCTTCCAGATATTTCGGACTGTTAAAGAAAACAATACGGGGAAAGAGGGCGTGGTCGAGCTAATTTTAATCTGAAATTATTTATGCATATGTATAGCTACTGTCGCTCTTTACTGCATAGAAGATTGCGTAGATGGTCATTGTTAGAAACTCGTTGTCAGAAGGCACTACTCGTCACATGCTTAGTGGTTCGGAAGTTCAAAGCTATGTCTTTTCAACCTAAATACCTGTGCCAATAGTAAAAAAAAAAAAAAAAATATAAGTGCGGGGATAAAAAGCTGAAAAAAAAAAAAAAAAAACTATCAAGAATTCACCGGAAGTGTTGTATTCTTGCATATTCAGAGGTTCAGAACTTCGAAACAAGTTTCTTTTACCAAAATGTGTACGGGCTAAAAGAAATACTTCACAGGAACGTGAAGCGAAAAAAAAAATGTTTTCTTTTAATGACGTGCTGAACTTGAACACTATTAGAAATCTTCTCCCATGAGTTAATTACGTGAAAAAAACAATAAATACATTATTTTGTATTCTGCAGATGGCAATGATATGTACTGTCCGTGGTGTTAATTTAAATGCGATACCTCAAACAACTTAGACGAAAATAAATATCAAGTTTAGGGCATAATTGCATGTAGATACATGTTTGAACATTTCTTCAAAACTCACGTTGAATAACAATAATCACATCTTAAGACGGCACTTACCTAGGCTATACATAGATCATTCTTAAAGAAGTATAATATCTCTACCATAAATAGCTTCGGCTACAGCGCGCTTCAAATCTGGCACAAACGATAATCGTCAAAAACCCGTCGTTCTTCCTCGCCCCTTCGGGAATTTATTTCTTTAAAACTAAGCATGCCAGAACATTGAAACGAACGGCATTGTCTTTCGTAAGGAACGCAGCACCGCGTGTAAAAGTTCGAGAAGAAAAAAAAAATTACGAACGTACCTCACTACTTGAATTTAAATGAAACAGTCCGCCGGTCTTTCGAAGTTCGACGAACGTCGAACTTTTACCCTAAAAGTTTGAAGTTCGTCGAACTTCTGATTTTTCAGGATTCGAAAGTTCGAAACTTTTCGAATTCCCTTGATAAATAAGTTCGAAAGTTCGAAATTCATCGAATTTTTTGGTCAGTCAAGTTCGAAAGTTCGACAAGCATCGAACTTTGCAGCGCAATAAGTTTGAAAGTTCGAAAAAAGATAGAATTTTTTTAGTGTAATAAGTTCGACGGTTCGAAAAGCGTCGAACTTCTTAGCTTAGCAAGTTCGAAAATTCGACTTCCGTCGAATTTTACGATGTAGACAATTAGAAAAATCGAAATCTTTCGAATCGTTCGAACCGCTTGATTCGATCATCGAAACTTCGATTCGAAAAAAGTTTGCGGCATCCCTATCTAGCACACGCGAGCAAAACTGGTTCTCTGTTCTCCGTCCCAGAACCGACAAAGACTGAAGGCCGGTTTGCACACTCACAACTTCCCACGACCGAGCGCGCCAAAACCTTTCGTGGCCTCTCGCGAGGGAACACCTGGCGCCATCTATTGGGCCGTTGCAAACTCTCGCAATTTCCGTACATTTCCTATATATTGTTTTTTTTAGGGGGGGGGGGGGGGGGAGGGGGGGCTTGAAAAATTTTTGACAATGTTATAAAGGACCATTTTTCATTGATAGTATGTAAATTTTATCTTGCAAATACTGCAGCACCTTCACTGCAGTGAAATGCAGTTCCAGGGTCACCGATAGATAGTGTCAGCGTGTTCTCTCGTCGTAAGAGATTGCAAGAATTCGGTTGTAAGCAAAACGCAAGTGAGTGAACAGGCCTTTAAACCGAGGATTCACGCAGGAGGAATTTAGCACTCTACGAGAGCAAGGAGAAAGGTAAAAGTCTCAAGGCCACAAGAGGCTGACCTAGTGACTTAACACTGACCAAGGTTGCACATGATGTATGCAAAGGAACACTTACCTCGATGGGTAGAAACAACGGCGCCACCATGCTGAGAGCTACGTAGGTGAAGGCGAGCCAGGGGCGCTCTTTCCTAACCTGCAACGCAAGCGTGACACGTGGAAAGGTTTTGCGTCATCTTTTAAAGAGGTGCAGATTGAAATGAATTAGGTTACCAGAAAAAAATATTAAAATGAAAGGGGCTACGCTTTGTTCCGCTTGAAGTGCAAACGAAGCAGAAACTTCAAATGTGAATCTGTTCTTTAACGGTCATTTTGAATGGCTTCAATACAGTTTTCCATTTGTTAAAATAAACATAAAAACATGCACTCAAAAGTACCCTTGCTAACATAAAGCCCGTGCTCGTGGGATTTTAAGGCTAGCCATTAAAGCCATAGGTGGCATATTTACTCATTATTTAGATGATTAATGAGTTTAGAGTGCCATACGTTTCTATTTTTTTTTCATGATTAATGTTATAAGGGTGATGATTTTACACCACATACTCAGTATTATCATAAAGATTGTTTTGAAGTGTTTAAAAAAAAATGGAACGCTCTGTGGTACTAATGACTTTGTACTTTTTAAAACATTATTTGAAACTAATTTTTTTATAAAAAGTTCTTGTTCACTTTTTTGTTATAATACTGGGTATGCGTCGTAAGATTATCACCCTCTTCACATTAATACTGGAGGGGAAAAATAAGGATCATGTGGCAACGTGTACTCGTTCATTATCTAATTAAATAATAAACCTAGGACTACAACAGCTTGCGTTAGAATCCCCAAGAAGAGAAGAAATATATTATCAAAGTTAGTTCTTAAGATATATTTCTAGATTTTTTACAATAAATTAAAAACCGTTTTGTGCCTATTCAAGATGGCAGCCACGGGAAGAGACACTTATAAACGGCACCTGCGCTGCGTGAATGCATGCGCGCGGCAGCTATGATCAAAGCGTGGGGCTCGTGTACGGAGCTCTGACTTCGTTCGCTCTTAAGAGGGAACGTAGTAGAAGAAAATCTTTCCTAATCTCAGTCCAGAAGCCAACCATGCAAAGCAGCCAGCAAAAGATCCTCACCGCCAAAGATCCGACGGTCCACAGCACCAGGCCGTACAAGAGAATGACGCCAACAAAAACAAACTTGCTGGGCGAACTGTGGACGCCAGTGTTGAGAATCAAAATGGCAAAGATGGCCTGCCAAGCAACACAGAGAAACAGATTAGCCTCGGCGAATATGCTCAACGACATACTCTCCGATCGGTAGCCAGTAGTTTGTTTTAAGACCCACTCCCGCCTGCGCGGTTCCGTGGTATGACAAAAACACCGCCCGGGAATTCGATAAATCTAGAGTAAAAAAATGTAGTTTGCACAACTCACAATAGCCACGAATTCCAGCTTCAGAAGCATGAGGAACTTGCAAAATTTCTTGTACATGACTGAAAAAAAAAAAAAAAAAAGACAACAAAAAAACATTAAACGTGTGAAAGCTTGTATTAGGAGTTTGGATTGCAGAGAATGCAATCAGATGTCTGTCCCAAGCTACTACAGGGGCATTCAAAGTGTCATTATCTGGGTGCCACAAAAACATGCATAAATAAACCAATGGAACCAGAGCGTTCAAACTTTTTGACAAAACTGTGTGTAGGCGCTGCATTTATCCTACACAAATTTCACGAGTGTGGGTTTCAAGAAAAAAAATTTAAGCCTAAAACAAAAATTGTGTTTTTACCATGTTGTCACTCACGCTCGATCTACTGGTTCTGACTTTCAGTATTTATTCCAAAGTTTCACATTCTTGCTTTGTGTTGTGCCGTCTGCAAGTAGCAGCGTCGACCAGACGGCTTTGGCCATTTTCCTCCAGTGTGCATAGAAAAAGAAACTAATATTTAGGATGAAATTTTTTTTCCCAAAACCCACACTCTTGAAATTCGAGTACAAAATGCACCACCTAAAAGACACCATCGTAAAAAGGTTTACCGCATTCAGTCCACTGACTTATTTCTGCATTTTTTTTACGCCCGCACGGCACTCAAATAAGCCCTGTAGGTACGGGCAAGAGGTCAGCAGAGTATGGGGAAGCTCGCTCAACTGATCATTCCCTCCGAGACGCCGACGAGCACGAATTCGGTCCAAGTCGGATGCAGGACCGATCTGGCGGCGAGGACGGCCGATACGCTGGTCAAAGCCAACGCCAGCATTGCCCGGCTCTGAAAAATGAGGGCCATCGAGTTCAGAATGCGTCAATGTGCTATGCAGAGCACAAGTTTGTCTGCTTGTTTTGCAGGGGTTGTGGTGAAGTCAGAATGCCGAGCTCTGATTGGCCCCGATCAAAGGACGGTGGGTAGACCTCAAAGCAAGCTGCCTTGAAGTCTACCCAGTTATCCTTCAATTGGAGCCAATCGGAGCTTGGTGTTCTGACGTCACCACAAACCCTGCGAAAGAAGCAGACAAACTTGCGTTCCGCATAAAGTAGCCACAGTGGATCTAAAAGCTGGTTCGCGCACTTGCGTTAGCTTATGACAGAGTTGTTGCGATCTCTTAAGACAAGAGGACACGCTAGCGTCATTTTTGAGGTGGGCCCAGAACTGCGTTTCACTAGACGTGGCCTCCGAGAGTCGTGGCGCACAAAGCTGACACAAAGGAAAAAAAAATTGCTCACAGCTGTTCTTGCCTTGCTCTAGGTACCAGGCCAGAAATTATAGCCATCGGGGTTGCCAGGCTCTGGCTTGGCTAGTTTCCCAGAGAGTAAAACTGCGCGAAATTCAATAACCCAAGATGGCGGAGGAAGGATACTGTTTCCTGGTTGCTAAACTCCCAGCTGCGGTTGCTTGACTATCGGCTTGTTCAAAGGAATGCCAAACTCTCCTAGTACAGCACATCTGGACATTACGCAGTCACTCACTGTCAAACCCAACCGTGGGAAGCAACCCTGAGAGGCAAACTCGGCTCTTTGACTCTGCTTAACCAATACCAACCAGGAGACAAGACATGCGTTTCTCCACCCCCAAACATCGTCGCCAGTAAATCCACACGGCGACACCTACTTTGCGTCGGCGTCGTCGGCAGCACGTCTTGCAGCGTCTCACAGAGAGCGTGACACAGCGGCGCCAAAAACAGACACGTCCGCCGCTCTGCGGCAAATCTCGCTGCCAATGGCCGCTTGGGGCAAGTTGGGGATCAACCAACAATGACATCGTGCACGAACATTGTCTTCCTAGCACTCCCAAAGACCCGAGTTTTTCTTTTCTTCCCCCGAGAGAGAGCTCACCAGTACGAGGCGGTCCTCGCGTCCAAAGCCGCATACGAAGTATTCTATGGTGGCGTACATGGAGGCCAGGCCCATGCAGGCCAGGTGCAGCACAATCTCGTACTCGTGCTCAAGCAGAACGCCAGACACGGCAAACCAGGCACCAAACACTGGGAGAGCAGCAGTAAATGGAGAGGGCAAAGAAATGTTAAACACAGAAACAAAAATCTTACTTTTAAGGGGATTTTGCACTCGTTTTTGGTCTGCTTCCATATATGTGCAAAAACCGACCTCCAGGAACATGGTAACATGCAAAGAAACTTAAAGCTTCTGTCACACTGCTCAACACATCATACAAAAGACGCTGTGTTCGCGGCAGACACTGTGACAGAATTCTGTGCGGACAAGTCTCTGGCGTGTTCGGAGTGTGTTCGACACATGTCTGCCTCGAACACGTCTGCAGACCGTTTCTGGATGACAAATGCAACAGGACCATCGTACAGGAAACACGTCTCGGACAGTTTCTGCAGGCTATCTTTCATACAATATATTGGCAATGTGATTGTGGCCTTAGAATATGTGTATTCAGTACTGGGTAAAGAAGAGAGTAACCAGTAGATTCCATACTTCGAGTAAAGAGAAAAAGAGCACTGCATGATATGTGCCTCAAGTAAACTATACACCAGGTAGATATGCATATGCAGATAGCACGAATGCAGTGTAGGTTTTCCCCCCTTTTAACCTAGAAAAAGCATTTTCCACCCCAACACTTGACGGCGTTTCAATTTTAAAAAAAAAAAGAAAAGTTGGAAATCGCTCGTTTGTGTGGAGTTTGCTGCACTCAGTACATTTCTAAAGTAGGGTAAAGGTGCTTTTTCGAGATGTGCACAAAGCGAAATATGAGGAATTTTTCTATGCGCAAGGTAAAGTACATGCAGAAGGGTCGAAAGACGGGCTAATTGTTATCGACTCAATATGTAAAAAAAAAAAAAGCATGCAAGACAAGTGCAAAAAACATACAACAGGAATGACAGACAAGCGTAAATTACATGTACTTTTGAGATCTACAAAGTAGAGTGGAAGTTATCAACCAGTGTTGCAGGCGTTACCAAAGGAAAAGTAACGAAATATGTTACTCGCAAATAAAAGGGACGCGTTTCCACCTTATGTTATCTCAAAATAAAAAGAATGCATCACCATTACAGATAAAAAGTAATGCATGTTACTCGTTTTAGTTACAAATAAGCATGTTTTACCATCCTTTTTCGGCACAAATTACAGGTATGCATAAGAGCCATATTTCAAAAAACAGTATCTTCACGCGGAAAGCGAACATAATTATTTCATCCTTTTTATGGTTTCACTTAAACACTCGCAAGAAAAAACGCAGAAAACAGAAAAGCTAGAAAATTCACATAACTTGGCAGCACCTATAAACACACAAAAAAAACTAGAAGTGTAATTTGTTTTTAAGTTTTCGGAAACTTAACTTTGTCACCCGAAATAAGTAATGCAAGTGTACGTCACCCATCACTGTTTTGAAAATGTCGTAACGAGTATGTCACGTGGCCAAAAAAAAGTAGTGCATTACCGGTAATGCCGTTACTTGTAACAAATTACTGGTAACGCGTTACAGGTAACATTGTTGCTTGTAATGCATTACCGGTAACATAGTGACTTATAATCCGTCAACGGTAACATTGTTACTTGTAACGCATTACCGGTACCATTGTGACTTATAATCCGTCAACGGTAACATTGTTACTTGTAACGCGTTAACGCCATTACTTGCGACACATTACCTCCAACACTATTCTCAGCCCATTCCGGTTTCTCTCAAAGGGTTGGTCTCTCTTCCAACATGGTGCCAGGAGCACGTCTCCAACCGGCGTGCCTACCACATTCTCACTTCGGTCCCTCGACTTCCACATCATCATCCTCATCACCACCACCGTGTGACAACAATGATGACAGCAGCGGACACGGGCGCGGCAGAACCCTTTCCATTGTGGTTTGCTCTCGGCTCCACGGTCCGCGAGAGCTTTTGCAACCAGGAATCGGGACGCCGCGAGGTCGGCGACACTGGCGTCGGCCCGTCGTTTTCCGAGGGACATCTACGGCCAACTGCCAGGACCAAGATGCAGCAATTTCCCACCACTTGGTTTGTTGTAGTTTCAGGACCACTCTAGACGCACGGGCAGTAAGGACACCGGACTTACCGGTCGGAGCCGCGTTCTAGGCGCTACGCTTACGGTGCACCCTCCCACAGGGAGAACCCTTGCGCAGACCTTGGCAACTCTAAAGTGACGGTCACGTTGCCATCATGTCATACAAAAGACGGTCTGCAGAGGCCGTCTGAAGTGTGTTCTTTCCTCGTAGAACAGTCCTGTCACGTCGGTCATACAAAAACTGTCTTTAGATATGCCTGAAGCAAGCATACATACTTTCGAACATGCTTCTGGCGTGTCCGTACATAATCTTGACATCGCGTCTGCAGAGGACAGCGCATCTTTTGCGCGACGTTTGAGCAGCGTGAATGCGGCTCGAGCGTGACCCGTCTGACGGCACAATGGCCGAGGAGCTTCTCTCGCCGCCGGTTCGGAGGAACCGCAGCCACTGACCCACGACGGAGAGCACGACGACATCAAAGGCGAACGGCTGGAACGGGTAGTCGGACGGATGGTCGAAGTCGGTGCCGTTGACCGGCAACGAGAGTGTGATGTCTGCAGAGGCGACAAGCAGCGGGATGCCGACGCCGACTTGGACCAGGACGTTGAGGACGGAAAAGAACAGCAGCCATAGCTCGTGCCACGTGTACTTCACGATGATCAGCGACTGCGGACGGATGAGGCGTGGAAACAATGAGATCAACGGTGTGCGCGCACGAAAACGGTATGCTGCGAAAATTTATGCAGTAAGGGGTCGGTCTGTTTTTAACCGTTTGTTGATGAGAGTTGTCTCCAGACAACAAACCAGAGTAATTTTTTTGTGTTCAATAGGTTTGGTTTCATCAAACTTTTTCAATCTGGTAGTCTGGCAACAATATTTGAGATCAAAACCGCGGTGCTATATAGAGAAAACATAAGTAGTTGACAAGAAAAAACAAAGTTTGGAGTGCAAATACGGGGCGACCGAGAACGACGTTTTACCAAAATTTTGTGCGAAAATGGATAAGTGTTTTTCTCTTGCCACTGCTACTTTACGATAGGCGGCAGTTTTACTTGGGGCTATCATAATGCGCGTGAAGTATTAATAAAATTTTATGGTGATTCATAGGCTATGCAAAGAAGCCACATTCACACTTTTACCTGGTGTTGCCCACAGGCAATGAAGCTATAACTTGCAAGGTTACCTTAAAATATTTCTTTTTTTTATTTTAGCTCCATTCTTCTACTTGATCTTGTTTAACATTCATATCTTAAAAAATAAATGTTTTAAGCTATTTTAGTATACCTTGTCAATAAAAGCTTAAGATACGGCGACGCTGGTTCTACACTGTGGAATAGGGGTCTCTTCTAGATATCGAGGAATGCCTGTCCCTCTAGACTGATAACCGAGGAACCCTTACCCATCTCAGCGTTGAAGCAGAGCAGTGCAGAAGCATCTTTTGGAAACAATGATGCAGATACTACGGAGTGTTTCTGCACACGGTTATGCATCAGTGAATGAAGCGGATCTTCTATGAAACTCCTTGAGCTGGGAAATACCTTAGCTGGGGGCGGGGGCGGCCGAGGGAATTCGGGGGTTTAGAGAACTGCAAGGATACTTTACGGAACTTCCTATACTTCATTTCACGCCAAGTCCTACCGCAGCCAATGCTACGGGCCGACGGAGCCAAACGAGTGGCATTAAAAGCGGTCTGTTGCGGTGCTCGTCGTCTTAGCACGTCGGCTATCGCTGGCTAAGCCAACCACGCGGAGCGAGCATGCATTAATCCGGCACTCTTCTCTTTGTGTGATGGGTGTAGTTAGCGATAGCAGACACACAAAGATGACGAGCGCTATGACGAACCACGGCTCTGTAGGATCCTTGCGTCGGCTGCGCTCTGACTTAGTCTGAAGCAGAGTACAGGAACCCAGCTGGAGAACATGCACTGTGAAGGGTCAATTTACCCAACGCGGTAAGACTGTTAATTCTGGAGTGTTACAAACATCATGCAAAAGTGATTACCTATGCAGAACTGCATATGGGTATGACATCTACCTTTTTGTGACTGCGCTTTTGCAGACAGACATCTATCTATAAAGTATTGCTTCGAGCAGCCCACCCCATAGCCAAAACGAAGCCACAATGTTACCAGCACCAATCAGTGTGGCGTATCATGCACTGCAGAGCTGTATGTTGGCAGCCAGATAAAGTGTACCATCTCATCAGTGTGGGAGCGGTAAGATGGCAGACTGGGGGCTTTGCCCCATGATTGACAAACAATTCTATTCCCGAGATGAGAAAAAGAGCTCTATGCATCCAGGTAAGAATCAGTCCAGCCCAAGCTGGATTATCAAACTAGTCAAGGCTGGATATCCCACTGGATATGAAACTGAATCCAGCTGGATCCAGAACCAGTTCCATAATGCAGATCCAGCCAGACCGACTTTCAACTGAGATATATTACTGAAAATTTTTCAGATATGTTCACGAGTTTACAAATTCTAAGGACAGCCCTCATTCAATAAATATGCTGACTGCTCCGCAGGTCAGCAATGCGGACAGCAGGATTGGGGCACCTCAAGTCCGCAGACCGTAGCATACTTTGCAAGCACATTCACTGAATTCAAGGTGCTGAAATGCAGGACTATTTGGCTCGAAAGAATATGTTCATGCATGGTTCATACTGCAACGACTTACTTAGGAAGAAAATTTAGCGAGTTGGAAGCTTTTTATTCGTTTATTAAATAATTCTGTTTCACAACTTACTAAGCGATATTATTGCTTCCGCTATTACCGAACACACAGGGACGCGAAGCTACATCGGGTTGCTAATGTACACGTCGAGTAATACAGTAAAACCTCGTTATAACAAAATGGGATATAACAAACTAATGGATATAACAAAGCAATCGTAATTCCCCTTGCTTGCTAATAGTGAAGAAATGGACATTGGCTATAACAAACTAATGGTTATAACGAAATAATTACGACCACTCCCTCAACTTTGCTATAACGAGGTTTTACTGTATGCCACAATCTCACATGACATGCCACTTCTCAAGTCATCAGTGCCTATGGTTTAAGTGACCAGACATCCAAATTTAGGCGAGACAGGTCCCGCTTTCCGGCTGTGGGTTTGCTGTCCCACCAGTCTGCTTGTAGGACGGTGCTTTGTCCCGCTTCGGCTCCCCCAAACCACGAATAGATAAAAGATGTGGTTAAACAAAAGGATCACAACAGTAAGAATTTGTGTATGACATGTGGACAGTACTATGGACCTAGTATCTAGAAAAATTAATATGTGCGTACGCCAAACAGTATGCATTCCAACTAAATGTATCAGATGTGCATGCCAAACAGTATGCGAATTGCAGGGAAAAAAATATGTGCACGGTGTATAGAAAATAATAAAAAGGTGGGATTTGTTACCCAAATTTAGTCTTCAAGTCTCACTACACAATACCACCCCGCACCGCACCGCACCGCACCCCGCACGCAAGCCCCCTCCCCCGTCCAGCTTTGGGGCCTGAGGAATATGGTAAGTTTACCTATGGTAGTTCCAGACGTAATTGTGATTAACTCTTTTATACCCAACTGACGACCCTCCTGTTTATCGCGGAAGGATTCGGAATCATAGCAAACTCCTTAAAAAAAAAAAAAAAAAAAATATATATATACAGGGTGTCACAAAAGAAAATTTACACAGTCTTTTTTACCGCAAAAGTGAACTAGGCATCGTCGGACGCTCATTCTCCGCCCAAAGGTAGAGCTAGAGGTCACAACCAGATGCGGAACTTTCAGCCCGATCCGATGAGTTAATCAAAAGTTATGAGTGATTTTCTGAAAATTTCAATGGGAAAATGGCCGCCGACGGAGTTTTCAAACACATGGGGCTCTATGGCACCAGAAACCGAAAACGGGCAAAAATGGGCTCCATTTTCCCATTGAAATTTTCAGAAAATCACTTATAACTTTTGATTAAGTAATCGGATCAGGCTGAAACTTTTGCATCTGGTTGTGACCTCTAGCTCTACCTTTGGGCGGAGAATGAGCGTTCGGCGATGGCTAGTTTATTTTTGCGGTAAAAAAGACCGTGTAAATTTTCTTTTGTGACACCCTGTATATATATATATATATGAATTGTTTTGAACGTCCACATTCTGCTAGGTTTGAAGCGACCGGAAATGCATGCGACACTACTTTGGCCGAGGCTCTTCGCGTCACGTGGCGGCGGCGCGTTTTCAGCAAAAGCGAACAAAATTATGGGATTGCGTCGCAATGGCTTGCATGATGCTTCTCCCTGTGTAGACAGACACAAGAATTTAACCCTCTAAAGTAGATGGGCGGCGGAATGACTGGGAAGGAAAGCTTGCCAACTGGGTGTAACTCGACTTCACAACAAACTTTCACTTTAGAAAAGTTGTTTTGATTTTATTTTTTAGCGGGCGCTCGCGCGCGGCTTTGTAATCTTGATGCGACTTATTTTTCTCTCCTTGAGCTAGACAGTAAGCTGACAACATTATGATAACTTGCCATGAACCGCACAAACACATTTTGACAGCGAGATAAGATCAGAGCTCGACCGCCCTAAGTTTCTTCAAATATGGAGTAACAGCAGACATACCCCTCGGTATCTTCTGGTGTAGCCACCGGGAGTGTCATAAGCGGGCAGAAAATCAATGCGAGGCATCGCGCGTTTGCGCTGCAAACATTGCTGTTAGGAACGAAGCATATCCATTTGATACAACTGTCCGGGGTTGGTTCCTCACTCCGCTTGTTTGATCGCGATTCCCGGCAAACACAAAAACAAAAATAAAAACACATACATATGCTGCACAATGTTGCCGCTGGAATTGTGTGCTGCAGCTCAACTTGGCGGCTCGCTTCAGAGAGGCGAGAGAGGCAGAGGCTCTGTGGAGAGGCAGACAAAATAGCAAAATGATGACGAACAATTTTTTTTTTTTCGATTGTTAACAGGCATGACGAGTGTAAGACATGTACGAGATACACTATTTCGTTTTATATTATATTAGTACGCGGCTATTGAGTTATTACGGTTTTTACAATAAACGCTAGAGGCTCAGCTGGCGCTAGTGTCTACAAGTAGCGCTAGGGAGGCTGTAGTGAGATGAGCGTTTCGCCGCAGTAAGGTTGCAACGCCTATTGGCTGAGAGAAAAAAGCAAAAACAAGCAAAACAACACAAACCAGAAGTGACGAAAATTTTTGTTTTGTTTGTTTTTGCTTCTTCCAATTTTACTTTTTGTTTTTACTTTTCGTTTCTCCAAGTGTTTGTTGGGCGCTTTTCGGAGCGGTCGCGTTGGTTCCATATGAGTGGTTCCAGCGGTCTTTCTTGTATTATACATTGTCGTGTTATGTGCCGCGGTATTGCCGAGTGGAGTTGGTCGTGATATTCAATGCTTGGGAACGAGCGTCGGCAGTGAAGTTCACAGCGCATTCATGCAAGCCAGCAACAGGCCCCGTCTCGCCACATGGAGCCCCGTGGGACGCTTGTTCGGAAAGTAAAAGGTGAGTGGAATTTACCTACTGGTGGCGTTCGATCGTCGATTCGACACCGCTGTGGTGGAATTTGATAGCGCTTGGCTACCTCACGTAGCGTCGGGGACAAAGAAGAAGATAATGGAGATAATCAACGGGAGTGGCATGTGGCGGTAAAGATGTCGCTGGTCTGCCGCTGGCGTGGCCTAAAAAGAGGGGAGGAGCCTGGGAGAGGGGAGGGGGAGGGGCTATTACGGAGCGCCAATGGCGAGGTGCGCGGAGGGGCGCGCGCCGGGAAGCGTATAAGCAAACCATATCCCGTACAGCACCTGACCACGCCCCCTTGTCACGTGACATGACGTCACTTCCGCTAAAGCAATTTGTCATGTCACGTGACCTGACGTCACTTCCGCTCCAAACCGAAACCAGTTGTTTTATTGGTTAGCGAATTGTCACGTGACATGACGTCACTCGCGCCGCTGTGGCAAGGTAAACATGGCGCCCGCCGTCGCCTGAAGCACGAAGCCTACACGGTCGATCATCGGTGCAGTCGCGGCTGAAGCCAGAAACGCTTGAGACGGGAAGCCTACGCGATCGACGCAGTCGCGGCTGAGACGCTGTGAACGCGGTGACGCGAGGGACTCAACACTTGGTGACGCAACTACGCGACGCCCGCAGTATGCGACGTCTCGCATCGTGCTTCTGCACAGGAGTGCGTAAAAGGCGCAAGTACTTCTCTTAGCGTCCTCAACTCGTCGCTTGATAAGAGCGAAGCAAGATTACTACCAACGCCTACCGCTGGTTTCCGAAGTCAAGTCTTCGGTTTCCAACGTCGGGCCTCGATGTCGCCGCTATTCTTGCCGCGCAGGTTCGTCGCCGACGCGGCGGATATGAACCATGTCATGCATGAACGCTTGCCTTTTTCGATACGAAAATATGCTCTGTTGTCACGAACGCTTACGCCGACCCACAAGCTGAATTTGAAGTATTGCCAGCATTTTTATTTCGCCTGTACGTTGTCATCGCATCACCGTTACTCGCGGCGACGCAGATCTTCGTGCTTGCCTTCTAGCGGTGCCGCGGCTCTGCCGACCCAAAATAAAAAGGCTGCTCTACGCTCGAACCGCAAATTGGGGAAATGGTAAAGAAATTAGCTTAGTACCGTCAGAAACACTCGTATGACGATAGGCATGCTCAGTGGAACTATGAAGAGAAAAAACAAGAGTGCATACTTTGAACTCGAAAAGTTTTTATTTCACCACATTAAATATATCGCTGCAATGCAGTGCTGGTTTCAAAGAATGCTATTTCCACAGTCCCTTGCAAAATGGCAAGTTCACACTGCAAAAGCAACAGTTTACATATAGATTAAAAGAAGTTCGCGAATGGAAATAATAGTTTCTCTCGAGACCTAGGGTAAAGCAAATGGGCATGTCGCCTCAAACGTATAAGGCACATGAAAGCTGTAATTTTGGAAGCTACTATAGCTTATTCATGTAAAAGCAGCTTCACACACTTGCAACAGCTTATGACCAGTGGCTGACCAGTCAGTCACAAGAGGCTTAAAATCGGTTTGAAGTCATTCCCTTCGTAAGCAGTTGCAGGTGAGTGAAACAGCCTTAACTTGTGACACCTTTCGCTGTAAACACCAATTGTAAACAATGAATAAACCTCTTCTGTTCTTACTTAATTTGCACCATGTCGGAATTCTACATCACACTTGTGTGCATGTGAAATTGTGTGTGCATGTGACAAAATGTGAAATTGAGCCAGAAACTGACACGGCTGCAAAATAATCAGTTTTAAGAACTCGTGTCGGATTCAAAATTGCACCCAAAAATCCTGGACATGGAGCAGACGTTTGATTGTACCTGTTCGGATGAGCAGCTGTGCTTTTCCTTTCATTAATCCAGACAGTTCAAATGGATGTAACCTCTGCTTTTGTACATAACATGTGGATATGAGCATAAACAACAGGGGAGGCACCCAGCATTAACATCAGAAGAATATAAACAGGTTAGAGAGCAGCTGGACTTAATTCTACTTGTTGGCTGAAGAGTTCGTGGACGACATGAAGCGTGGAGTCTTCTGCCGCGCATGTGAACCCTCTGTGTACGCCCCTCTTTCAATCTCTTTTTTTTTTTGTCGTCTTTGCTTTTGAAGAGACTTGGGGCTAAGGATGTTGGCAACTGGTCACCGGTTCACACTCGACAAGTGCTTACGGCGAGTCTGTGCCCAACTACATTGCTGTGCTGCGTCGTGTCGCTCAGTACTTCGAGTAGACATAATTTTCATACAAGTTTTGTGATTGGTTAGTTTGTACGGTGAGTGAGGAAGCCATTTAGCGACACCTCGCCACACCAGATCTCGCTTTCGCTAGGGCTCAACAACTTGCGATTGCTGCGGAGTGTGCCACAAACGGAAAACCCCACATTTCGGGGCTCCAGAGACAGCAGAGGTTCGCCACATGGACAAACACCACCTACACAAGGCATGAAACGGTTCATCAATGCCAAGCCACAGCCCTGGCTCAGGGAAGATATCTCCGAGTACAGCTAGAAAATGTTGCGCACGATGCAAGTAGCTATAATTTTGAACACGCCATTTCTGTGGTGGAAAGGGACACATCATACATGCATGCCGTCAGTAGTTGGCCAAATCCAAGCACCACGCTCCGGTAGCGGAATCCAGTCATCATCTGGGATCATTGAACCAAGGTAGAAATCGTCGAAGTTCAAGTAAATGAAATCTTCATCTGCATAGATGGTGAGGCTTGGTCAACAATTGTTCTAAAGAGATAGTGCCGGCTTGGAACGGCAGCATAGACTTAAACCTAAACTGTTCTCCGGACATATTCGCAATGTAAGTTGGTGGTTCTGGGAAGTGTCCATTTTTCCACGCGGTTCAAGGGAAAGGAGCGTAAGCCACCATTGCTGACCGTGAAAAGACGTGGAGCAAGCCTGCTTGAAAGAAACCGGTTTGAAGTATTCGATAAGCTACGTGATGCGTGAGCAACAGACCTTTCCGGAAACATGTGGTGCCCCCAGCGTCTACTTTATGCACTGCGACGTCCAGATGTATGGCACGAGGAATTGTCCAAGAAGACGAAGACGTGGCAGAGGGAGAGCAAAACAGAGGGTGTGATGACCACTTTTTTTACCACTCACTCAATTTTTAGCATGTTCTGAGCTCCTAATGATAAGAAAGAGTGAATCACGCTACTACTACGATATACAAAGCATTCAAGCCGGCACGAGCGTACATCCGAAGAGCCCCACAATTCCCCCCTTTGCAATGTCTTTTGCGGAAAGGTCTATTGCGCATTCAGAAAAGGAGAGAGAGAGAGGGGGGGGTGTCCAAGAGGATGACAAATTGAAACACTCTTTGTCGAGGCTTGAGAAAGGACGGTTTTGCTCTTGTCTACCGCCTAACACAACACAGAGCACCACTATTTAAGGTGTCCTTCAATTAGCCGAGCCACTCCCACAGACTCAAGGACTGCCAAAAGAATTTCCAAGGGTCTCGAGTAAGGACTTGGCGGACCCACATACATTCATACTAAATCTAAACTTCAAACCCAAGTACCACAAGCGTCGACTTGTTCCTTTGGCCCATGAGCCAAAGGTGTAGTGCACCGTCACGCAACTCGTGCAACAAGGAATTTTGCCCCCGGTGCGGAAATCTGCATGGGCTACTCCAGTTGTACCCGTGGGGAAGTCACACGGCGTGATATGGCTATGTGCATGTTATAAATGCATCATTAATCCAGTCTTGAAACAGAAGTCGTACCCACTGCCAGCAGCACAGCAAATGTTGACTTAACTTGTAGCATAGCCCTTTATTACGCTTTTGGTCACAAAACTTCTCCGTAACGCTATAGAAGGGCTTGGTATGCGACCACGTGTGGCACTGGAGTTGACCGGGAGCCTGAAAGCTGTCAATCTAGCTAGCACCACTGGGAACTGGGCATCCAGGACGTGCTATTGTAGTTCCGAACCCACTCTGAATGAGCCACCTTTAGATCACAGTGATGCATCAACGAACTGATAGCACAGTCCTTTTAACCAAAATTCATCAATGAAACGCATTTAACCCCAGTATGCGTTCAATTAACGACGAGGAAGTTTCTGGACCCCTGAGGATGGACGACTCCGCTCATCACGGATGAATTATAAAGCTTTCTCCTGGTGAAAACTGAAGTTAGTAGTTGGAATGCCTCGAATCCTACTTCAAGGCTAAGAACATCACAAGCTCCGCAAAGTAGCAAGCCGTCTTCCTGGCGTTCTGCATGAATAAACCTACGACACCGTACGAGCCCTGCCCACGCACAAAACGCTTCGGAGGTTGAGCTTGAGATCATCAAGCGCCTCAATGAGCACCACGACCCCAAGCCGGCGAAAGTGCTCAGT